TCCTAAAATAATTGTGCTGAATATCACATGAAGATGTGTCCGTGAATTATAAAGCAACAAATTTGAAATAACGGTCCCTGTATGATGAAGACTGTAAATAGTTGCATAACCAGCATTGGCAGTTTAATGACTTTTAAAAGTGTTTTTTATTTGTTTATTTTTCTTTTCCGCTTTATGATGTAATTGATCTTGACAGCCTTTTTTATATTTCTCCGCATGAGCATCTGTGACCTAACGTCGGAGGAATTTCTAACATAAAAACGAAAAATGTTGCTTTTATGAAAAACATATAATATATTTCTGTGTAACGAAGCAAAAATGCATAATATATTGCAGAAGCACAATTAAGGCTGAACTAGTTGTCGAGCACATCCTTTTTCGTTCGAATAGCAGTTTTAAATTAGTGCTCGGACTATGAGTACTCCCAACAATGTTCAAAGTTTTATATAATTCATTAAAACTTGTATCATATAGGACATTCAATGTCACACTTATATATCATCATTAGTTCAAACTATCTACTCTGCTTGTCCCAAAACAACAAAAATGCGTATATTGTGACAATCATTAATTGGAATCTCCTGAAATATCTCAGATTTGAAAGACTTCAGTTTGAAGGCACAAGGTTGGACTAAAGCTAGCAACGGTTTCTGGTATCGACTTTTCGATGAAACAATGAGTTATCCAGATGCAAAAGAAAGCTGCCAATCATTCAATGCTAGACTTGCCTCGGCGGGGATAAGGGATGCAACTGTCCGGCAGTGAGTAAATACTTATAAAAAATTTCTTTTGCAACCAGTTATAAGGAATTACACGTTTATAAAGCGTTTTAAGATTTATATTTTGAGTCCCATTCAGAGACTATGTTTCAATTAGACCTGAGCGTTTTCAAATCATTACCGAAAAGACCGCCAGGCAAAGAACTTTTCGATAATGGTGTAAAAATGCAATAACGGCAATGTCAATGTCGTATTCATTCACGAGATGCATCTTGTCTGTCTGATTATACTGCATATACTGGCAATAATTTTACGACATGATTGTTCAGGGAACTACAAAATAGAATATTGGTTTCAATTTCAAACTGCTGGATCGGACTGGAATACGTCACACAAGAAGGAAGATTTATTTGGTCGGATAATGTCGATGACTCAACGGTTAATCTTTCCTTGTGGTATCCTGAAGAACCAAATAATTCGGAAGGAGTTGAAGATTGCGCCATGATATTTAGACAAAATAACAGATTGTACCTAAATGATAGAAACTGTCAACATTACCACAAAGTATTTGTGTGAAAAAATATAAGCAGAAAATATGGAGAAGTTAGTTTCATTCAAAATCAATTTTTTGAAACAAATCATTTCACCATAACATCATACAACTAAAGACCGTTTTAACATAATATTAAACACAAACATCTCTCTCAAATCAGGGCTGAATTTTGACAATGAGGACCCTAGCCTAAGCCATGGATGGCGAATCACTGACCCGCGGGTCACAAGGTGACCAGCCATGTTTTTTCTTAGACGCGCCAAGTTACGGATTAATGCAAAGAACATAGTAACATGTAAGTAATGAAATTAATGATAAAACCCGCCTTGATTCAACGTAACAATGTTTATATCATAACAATAAATTTAAACTGTTCATTTCTCGCAATTTGTCTTGTTACAGCTGTTCTCTTTCAGAAATACATGAATCAAATAGGGCAGCAGAACGTTTTTAGTGTAATTGGAACGAGCTCATCCTTTGCAGTAATAATGTGCCTTGGTTTAATTTTTTGATCGTAGCCGGATTTAAGTTAATTTGTATGACGCAGTTAAGTGACGTCATAATAGCGCACTGTGACTTAGGCAGAAATGTGTCTATGACTTGGGGACATACGCAATTTTGCAACTTTACTATATGCACCAGTCCTGAAAACTAAACCTTTCAAAAACGAATGTAATTCTCAGTATCTACAATGTCCGATTCCAAAAATAGCTAATCAGTTTTAATTACAATATTTTTTACGTTTAAAAATATATATTTTATCAATATAACACGTTCTGCACACCCACCGAAATAAGATTAAATATAAATAATAAAACAGCAATGATCCAATATAAAAGCCAACCAAGGTGAATTGGACTCGGACAGTATATATCACAAGTGCACGTCTTCCTATACTGTAGTATAAATTCAAATTAATAAGCGCTAAGCTAAAATCCGAGATGAAAAAACTCGAAAACACTTAGCCGAGGTTATTTTGCCTTGGTGACGTCACAACAGTCCTGCGGTAACAATGATAATTCATTAGGACGAAACAATTGCACAAATGTGGATGTCATACTAAATCTCCATTTTTATGGGTTTCGGAATTCTTAAAATGAAATACGAGTTAACAGACAGGTGCGCAGCATTATATAAATACCTATTTTACAAAAAACTCAAAATCGCCAAAAATGACTTACGAAATTCGGTTATTAGCGTGACGATATGTAAAGCTGAAAAACTACACAACACCAACCTAGGATTAAGTGAATTGCGGAAACGATGCAACAGCGAGTTTCTCATTACTGTATTGTCAAGTATCTCATATATCTATGAACCACTGTCTTCTTTTCCATAATAAAAATACATATATATATGTTTCATTAAAAATATGTTCGCCATCCCTGCCCTATGCTATGCCATTTGTGAGGCCCCTCTTTCACAATGAGGGTATACCGATTACATTATGACGTCATATTGACCTTTTAAGGATGTATAAAAATGCGATTAGGGCGTCTAATTAAAAATTTGAATTGAGTCAAATACTAAATTTTAGCTACAACTAAGATACGATGATCCCCAACTATATTGGATAGTAAGTTGAATTAATAGAACTTCATGGACCCAGAAATAGCCCAATTACCGATAAATAAACCATTAGTGGTACCAACGACTAACATACCGGTGGTACATAAAATTTATATGATATCATAATTAAATGATTGATATTTTAAAATTGAATGTCCCTTAATTATCGCCGTACAACATTTTGCTCATCCTTGACGCAGAGGTCAAACGAAGCTTGTTTTGTGAATCTGGTAGATAGAAAGGTCATCTACCTTTGCGCTCGACTTGAAAGACAAATATTCGAGTTTTGTGGTGACGAGTTACCAATACCAACGAGGAAGTATAGTTAAACATTAACCGAACGACATTGAAGCAAATTAGTCAGTATATATTGTAATAAGTTATATTATACAAAAGAAGACAAGAGGCACGACCTCATCGTGCGTTTAATTTTTATTTATCAAGCTGAATCACAGGTGTGTCTTTGTCGAAATTGTGATTCCGACTCCCAACTCTGAGACGTTTTATAAAACTAACCCGACAAAAGGCGACAGTATTTGACTCGGCTATCCTGGATTACATATTAAAGCAAGAACAGTGCAGAATATTAAAAAATAAAGAAAATTTCGACTGTCGATTGGTTCTGGGTAGTATCAGAATCACTACTTTCTCTGCATTATATTTTCTGAGCCATGTTGCTGAATAATATTTGAACTATGCATGTATTCGTTTTAGAGTTTTATGACAAACAATAAATAATAAAGATAATCTAAAATCCAATGGCTATAAAAGCTACACTTGCTCTCTTCATTGTTTGTGGTTCACTATGCATCTATTTGGGGTTCGCGAGAATAGAGTTTGGATCTTGTCGCCTTTCGTGCGATCAAAACGAGGACGGAGCAAATGAAAATCTTGGATTTCCTACCAGGGCTGTGGGCCCTCCGGGAAAGGCCGGGAAAATCGGCCAAAAGGGAGATCGTGGACTTCCTGGTTTACCAGGGCCTACAGGGGAACCAGGACTTCCTTGTCACTGCTCTGAATTTGATGTTGTGTCCAGAAAAATGGAAACGCTGCAGACAGAATTATCTGGTATGTGGTATCAAACAATCTACAGTATATATACAGTTTAATCTTATAAACATATAAAGTGGTGAATCAATACTAAGTTATGTAATGCTATTAAAAAACTAGAGCATGATGAAATATATTATTGCTGTTATATGAACAAAAGAGCAATAGGGATACCATGCATTGGTGCCTTACCACGGTGAGGCCTCAAGAGTAATCCAACTCGACTTTGCTGCCGACGAGGAGGATAAGGACAGGTGTGACGGAATTAAAAGGTGCTCACTTTAATTGAAGCATCCCCTTGTTTTAAATAATTATTGGGAAGCGAGAAGGAAAAGCTAATACCTTCCCAATAACTTCAGCCATCTTTTAGTAATAAAAATGTTAGTTGTGGAAAAAATCAATTTTTTTTATGAAAGCGATAACAAAGAATTCAGCAAAAGGATTCGAATGGACACTTAGTTTCCGAATAATAATTTGGTAACAAACATTAAGCCTATTAGCTCGATATCGTGAACCCGATAACGCACAAATGCGCATTGTTGCAGCATATAAACACGAAAGACAGATGACTAAATACATTCAACGCAAAGTCAGCAAAATTCTGGCCAATTCTTAAAATGATTGTGCTGAATGTTACATGAAGATGTGTCCGTGAATTCTAAAATCAACAAATTTGAAATAACAGGCCCTGTATGATGAAGACTGTAAATGGTTGCATAACCAGCATTGGCAGTTTAATGACTTTTAAAAGTGTTTTTTGTTTGTTTATTTTTCTTTTCCGCTTTATGATGTAATTGATCTTGACAGCCTTTTTTATATTTCTCCGCATGAGCATCTGTGACCTAACGTCGAAGGAATTTCTAACATAAAAACGAAAAATGTTGCTTTCATGAAAAACATATAATATATTTCTGTGTAACGAAGCAAAAATGCAAAATATATTGCAGAAGCACAATTAAGGCTGAACTAGTTGTCGAGCACATCCTTTTTCGTTCGAATAGCAGTTTTAAATTAGTGCTCGGACTATGAGTACTCCCAACAATGTTCAAAGTTTTATATAATTCATTAAAACTTGTATCATATACAAGGTCATTTAATGCCACACATATTTATCATCATTAGTTCAAACTATCTACTCTGCTTGTCCCAATACAACAAAAAGGCGTATATTGTGACAATCAATAATTGGAATCTCCTGAAATATCTCAGATTTGAAAGACTTCAGTTTGAAGGCACAAGGTTGGACTAAAGCTAGCAACGGTTTCTGGTATCGACTTTTCGATGAAACAATGAGTTATCCAGATGCAAAAGAAAGCTGCCAATCATTCAATGCTAGACTTGCTTCGGCGGGGATAAGGGACGCAACTGTCCGGCAGTGAGTAAATACTTATAAAAATTTTCTTTTGCATTTAGTTATATGGAAGTACAGGTTTATGAAGCGATTTACAATTTATATTTTGAGTCCCATTCAGAGACGATGTTTCAATTAGACCTGAGCGTTTTCAAATCATTACCGAAGAGACCGCCAGGCGAAGAACTTTTCGATAATGGTGTAAAAATGCAATAACGGCAATGTCAATGTCGATTTTATTCACGAGATGCATCTTGTCTGTCTGATTATTAACGGCAATGTCAATGTCGAATTTATTCACGAGATGCATCTTGTCTGTCTATACTGGCAATAATTTTACGACATGATTGTTCAGGAAACTACAAAATGGAATATTGGCTTCAATTTCATATTGCTGGATTGGACTGGATGACGTTACACAAGAAGGAAGATTTATTTGGTCCGATGATGTCGATGACTCAACTGTTGATCATTCCTTGTGGTCTTCTGGAGAACCAAATAATCACAAAGGAGTTGAAGATTGCGCCCTGCTATTTAGAAAAGATAACAGGCTGTACCTGAATGACGGTAGATGTACGGTGGACATATTAGAGTATTTGTGTGAAAAAATATAATCAGAAAATATATTAAAATGGTATACTTTCATTTGTAGTCAAATTTTTAATAAAAATCATTTTACCCCATTAACATACTAACCGTGACTGCAACGCTAACATGCAAACAACCTCTACTGTATATACATAAGTTGAAAGTGATGCATCAAGGCGTAACATGTTATTCAACCTAAAGCTACCAAGGCTTTGGTGTTTTCACCTATTTTCGCGTGATATCAGGTGCCCCATGAATACGAGCAAAATAGTTTGGTCGATCAATCGAGTAGACAGGCTCATGATTCAAGCTATTGACACTATACCTAATCACTAGTCTATATAATATAGCACAACTTCTGTTTTCTTCATAACTTTGCAAAAACACGTGACTCGTGAACAACCAAATTAGGCGTTGATTGCAATTCCTTGATCGATGTTACACCTGGAAAATTGAAACCATATTATAAGATATGAAAAATCTACATAATCACGCCAACAGATTTTTTTGTCGAGGATTCTAAAATCTCACCTAACAGCTGCATGGTTGTAACAAGTTCATCCTTTAAAATTTCAAGAACTTTTTTGACTCCCGCTTCACCCTGTTGAATATTTCTTTGCAAATTAACAAATTAGTGAAATATTATACAAATAGTAACTTGCTATCAGGTTTGTTATATGAAGAAAATGAATAAATCAGAATCAAATCGTTTTAACAGGACAATAAACAAAAACGTTTTCCTTAAAGTTATGGAACCAGAATCGTTTTGGTTTTGGATTGAATCATTTACTTCTAATGATATGGCCAAGATGCTTTTCAGAAAACCTTTTAAAATCTCGTGTCAAATGCGTGTAGTACGCGAGCAGCAATACAGTTGAAAAACAATCCCATTTTGAGTAGCACTGCTTTATAGAAGCTACGACATGCATGTCGCCCAGCATAATCATTCATACTGGGCAGTTCTACTCAAAAATCATGAGCAGTATTGTACAGATTGCCAGTGCATTTGACCGTGTGGAAGTTATACCTATATTGCACGTTAAAATCAAATATACAGACATTCATACATCGCAAGCAAGACCCCAAAGTATTGGCCTTCCGATGAAAACAGCTTTAGCCCCAAGAGCAAGTGCTTTCGCGATGTCAGTTCCTTTACGAATTCCTCCGTCAAAGTAAACATCACATCTACCATTCACAGCTTTTACTACTTCTGGTAAAGAGTCGATCTAAACTTTGAGAAAAAAGAAGAGGATTATATGAGCATGAGATACCATAATATGGATAGAAAAATTGCAAACCGGCCCATATTTATGCCGGCACAGTCATTTTCATTAATCACACCTGGTTGTCACATAGTCACATAAAGTTGATCTGCTTACTTTCAACGGAATGTGGGTCGCGACCCACTGGTGGATCGTTCATCATTTATCAATAATAAACTTACATTGTAGAAAATCACGAGATTTTTTAATGAACATTATATAAAAACCGACATCCATTGTTTTTATTTGTATTTCTTATACAAAAATCAAGTGACAAATATCATAATTGTGATTGTGACATCACACAATCTTGAATAATGGTGTGATCTTCACCTTATCTCAGGTCATTGAACCTTCCCTCTCCCACACATTTTAAATTTATTTTAGGGTAAGGTTTAATTAAAATCAATTTTGAAAATTCAAATTAGGTCTTATTTTCAGGCCAAGTCTTATTTTCGAAAAAACACGGTAGTTTTGCGATGATTAGCCATTGCTGTGTTCTGTGTTATGTCATAAAAAGTTCAGTGGGTCGCCATAAGCTGTGGTAATAAATAGTGGGTCCTAACTCTAAAAAGTTTGGGAACCATTGTCATAGACTATTTTATGAGAGTGATTGATCGAAGTCCGGTTTTGCTGTAATGTTTCAAAAAGGTGGTTTCGTATTCGGTTTATATTATTGTACAACAGTAGTATAATATTTATTTAACTAAGATTCGTGGTAAATTGTTATTGCCGCAAAGTAATTGAATTAACAATTTACAGACATTCTAACTTTGTTATACGTATGTAAAGTAATTCATATACATGTCAGTTTAAATTCACATCATATTCAACAAACCGTGGCAAACGTTCCATCAAGTTGTCTTCCACCGTGATTTGATACCAATATGCCATCAACTTTATGTTCAATTGCTTCTAAAGCCATTTCCTCTAGATATGATAAAATTGAACAAAATTGTATTTGTGCAAACAGTGTCACATTTTCTCATTTATAATATAAAAATTGTTGAGCGTCAAAAAGCTTAGATTGAATTGATTTTGACCAAATATAAGTTATGATATCGAAATGCCAACAAAAGCCTTTGGTTAATACTTGACATTCAATACGATACTATAACGACCAATCTAATGGATACTTCATCTCACTCATACACGATAAATATTTATTTGGCATATTTTTGGAAGTGACCTGTTAATATTCCTTTAACAACAATCGGGAGGTTTGTTCTTTGTTTCAGCCAATCAATATTTTCCCAAGTTTCCGTTCCATCCAAATAACTGTAACAAGTTGCTACAATATCTTCCATCTGCGCGTTGGGTTTCCACTTTTTGATTGATGTGGAGATATTCTTCTGCCTGTTTTTTTAAAAAATAGATAATATGATGCAATATGAGCATTGGAAAGTGTGAAAAGTAGTGTAAAGGAGAGTTGGGAGATAAGTAACAATGATTACTCCAGGTCGAATATGAAATCATATGTCTCTCCATCGTCCGTTTTGTTGCATCGTTTTCCAAATACTGGTTGATCAATTGTTACAATAAATCCCCGAAATCCGTTCTCTTCCGCTCGTGTTATAACATCGCCCATCACTGCGCGATCCTGAAAAAATCACCACTTGATATGTTTAGATTATAATGTAAATATTAAATAAACTAATCACAACTGGCCCGTTTTAACTAGGTTATACTAAAAAAAGGTCAAACTTTTGGATCTTTTTTTCCCGCATATCGACGTTCTCAAATACAGACGAATTATATTTCAAACTTAGCTATGATTCCAAAACATGGGTATATTGATACGGCGAACTGTTCGATCTGAGAACGGTCTCTGGCATATGACGTTAATAGATCAATTATAAGCTTGAAATAAAAAACGGTCGCCATTACTTTTGAACAAAGTCGTCTTCGTAATTTGCAGCAAAATTGTACCTTTTGCGGGACTAAATGGTTGATTATGACGTCATATAAAATGACGCGTTGCAATTTCAGAGTGTTCAAAGGTCGGCTTCTATAGTTTCTTCTATATTTTACATTATAGACAACTAACACGTCATTAAAAATCAACTAATTTTATCAAACCGGAATAACTTGAATATGACACCACCGGATTCCATCCGGAGCCTCCATTGCAACTTCTTCCATACTACGGTTGCTGAATAAACTCAATGTCATTCCAGTGCCCAGGGACGCTGCAGCTAAACGATCAAATGTAACTTCTGTGACAAACTAATAATTGTATTTATCGCGGCAGCAAACATTGTGAACTTGGACGAAAGTATGAAGTACTACTATACGATTGAATCATAAAAAAACGGATGTTCAAATATATGGACACGTACGCCATGCAGGGTGACGGGTACGAATCGAGTTCAACACAGAAATTTTTTAGACGAAATGCCTGTTACATCATACTCAAGACAAATTTGTAATTGAGTGGAGGTAAACGTATTTAGAAATTGAAATTTGAAATCGATTTGTGGAAAAAAGCCTTTTTTAATCATCACCTTTTGCTGTTGCCACTTCGCCTTCTTGATATGCAAAAGCATGATTTGCTGTCGGACCAACACAAATCGGAAAGGGAATCCGTGAATTCAAAACTGTGGTGGAGCAATCCACTTCTGAAACGTTTCTTAAAAGCTTCGGTCGAAATCTCCACCTGAAAATCAATGAAAGATGGCTGTAATGGTACCAGGTATTATCATCGTCTTATCAAAATTGTGAATTCAAAAAAATGCAATTGTATAGTCAAATAAAATTTATATATAAATAAGGTGACCTACCTCTTATATGCGTCACAATTTTCTTTTATAGTATGTTCCCCCACTGCTCCGCCAGAGTAGAATCCCCAGTAATAAGGAGATATTCTCTTCTTTGCTATTCTTTCATAATCTTCTATGCATATTAGATTTGATTCCATGTTTTAAGAAGTATTTCCTTTCCAGTCAAGTAATTAGGTAAAAAAAATAAGGATACTCCCGAATTATGTGAACTAAGATGGCGGACACCGGAACGTAGTATGTGTACCAGGTTAGGGTTAGGCCATAATTTTATTCTAATTTTCCATATTTTAGTTATATTACGCTTTCGGGGACTAGCCAATTGACTCCCGTATACGGATACTATAGTATTTGTACCTGTAATTATGGCCCAACTATCACTTGGCACACATACTACGTTCCGGTGCCCGTCATCTTGGTTCACATACATATTGAAAAATTTCTTAATTTCAGTTCCTAACACTTTCAAATGACCATCGATTCTTCAGTCTGATACGTGTTATTATAGCAAACCCTGATAATATTACAATGATAAAGGGCTATCCAAGTCGTAAATGGAAATTGAGAAACCTATTTACAGTACCTTAAACATCATAAAAGATATTACACTAAATGGACGTTTTCTGCGCAACTGATGGAACCCACCTTATTCAAATTTTCAATACGCAACGAAATAGTCTCTGGGAACCCATTATTTTTATTTATCCATTATTATATTTTTATACAATTTACGATTTGGCTGGAATTTTGCTAATATTTCGATCGTCATTTGATTTTCGTGTCCATTTATTGAGTGCAGCTCTTTTGTTATATTATTGCGCCCTAGTTACATAGCCGGGCTGATGTTATCATTCAATTATAAATCCTAATCAACCCGTTAAAGCAGTTTATATTGAAATGGTAAGGCATCAGCCGCACGCCATACATATAGCAAATTCAATATCCATTATTAGTCATCTTATGGCGATATGAAGTGCAAACGTTGTTGTCGAGTAGAAGTATATATCATAAACGTCACTGCATTCTATATACAGGAGTATTGATTCTCATCGGACGTCCCCTAATTTCAGATTCCCAGTGAGGGCCTATTCTGTAACCAACAAATATCTAAATATCGTAACTACAGCAGAATATATGTTAGGCATAAAAACCTACTTTTTGCGATGAAAATTGTAGCGTTTCGTCTGTTAGACGTAAGAGTTTTTATAATATCTCGATAATTGTAAATTATACTCAAAATATTTGAAACCTTGCCTTGCTTCCTCATATCTGAGCTAATTCCGTACCAAAACTGCCATCATCTTCACTGTGAAAACAGTCGTAACTTACTTGCGCTCATGCGGAACAACTCTGCAGGTTTATCTTGTGTAAACATTGGGATTTCATCAGCGTTATACAGTCAATTTGGTCGAAGTTATTGCGCTGTATGTACCGCTCGCTGTCCCTTGAATTAAATAGGTTAAATAATTTATTCTTATCACAGTATAGAGGACCGTGAGTCACAGAATTAAATCAATGAGAAATGCGCTGTTGCTTCTTTAACGCCCCGTCATGTTTGTCACACGTTGGGTCATTTTGTGACCCGCTGGTCAGTGGTTCGTCATTCCTGTCCTAGGCTTTCACTACTGTACTACTTATCAACTACTTCCGATTGCCTTGAAAAACTTCTGTTTGCCCCAACGTAATAACGATTCATGTTTTATTATAGTAAAATGATGTAATATTTTTCACTGCCGTGCGAAGGTAATTTTTTTTAAATTTTCATAGTTAAACGAGATTCAAGTATTGCTAACCGCATAGTTATAACTGCAAAAAGAGACTGAAATATGGAACCAACGAAATAAATTTTACTCAAATTTATCACTCACTAAAAAATATTGAGATGCAGATATTCATTTGTTCGTTACTATAACATTTATAAAATAATTATCCAGTTGTTAGTTGATACTTTGTAACTACTAATACATGTTATGAAATTATTCTCACAAAGCAGTTTTTGAAATCACGAAATTACTTTTGTAAAAGCGTACTCCCGTAGTATGTGTACCAGGTTATGCCATAATTTCTGGTGGAAATACTACGGGAGTCACTTGGCTAGTCATCGAACTCGTAATAGAACTAAAATGAGGAAAATTGGAATAAAACTATGGCCTAACCCTAACCTGGTACACATACTGTACTACGTTCCGGTGTCCGCCATCGACAGCGCCCGTAAAAGACTTTGGGGTGGAATGAGTATAAGTTTATTAAATTTAGTCTTCATTACGCCGTGACACTACGGCACGTATTCGCATATATAACGAGAAGTTATAGCCATCTGAGTGCAAGGGAGGTCGTTTACTGTTATTTTCCCTGTTTCATGCGATTCAATTCTAAGGCGAGCGCAATCTTCGACACCCCAAGCATTATTTGGTTCTCCTCCCCGCCAGTAGAAATCGAAGAGTTCGACATTGTCTGACCAGACCCATCTTCCCTCTTGCTGGATATCGTTGAATCCCAACCACAGATACTTTATTGTTCTCGGTAAACCACGAAATACTTCCCTTAAATAATAAATAGAAATAAAAGTTTAACCAGCAACAACCCGAGAAAGTTTTTAATAATAACATTCAGTATATCTTATAATAGCATTGATATTAAACAAATTGCAACTCAATTGCAAACAAAGATTGTCTCGACCATCAACCGCAAGACTAGTGAGGAACGAGAAGTGGTATCACGAGAACACGAACGGTGCTGTTGATCCCATGTTGTCACATACATTCATTTTAGTGTAAACGCTGAACTAATGGGAAATTCGCATTTGAAAAAAATTTCATAGACAACAAACGTTGAAACAAAGAATTCCTTCATTCCATCATCACCATCCATCAAAAATCCTTTTGCCTCAACAAAAATACCTTGAAATTAACACTAATAAAAAGGAAAGAAAACACTTACTTTCGTATGGTTCTATTTCTCATTCCGGTCGAAGGCAATCTTGCGTTTTCTGCTTCGCAATTTAATTTTGCTTGTTCCCAATTTGCTCGGTCTTCATACAACCGATACCACATCCCATTTTTTGCCTTTTTCCATTCCGAGAATTCCATCTTGGAATGTTTTTTGAACACTGAATAAAATGATAGGAGTCGTCGTAAAAAAACTGTTCTAAATGCGACTATGTGTTTGGGTGAAACAAGCGTATTACAGAATAAGACATCCAAGATAATGTACCATTTTATTGCTTGTCGGCTCATAATTTCACGCCAGATCGGGTCTTTTCTGGTCGTGTTCGCGCCAGAGTTTAAATTAGGAATTTTTATGTTTATATCTATGTTTAGTTCATCATCAAAGATTAACATTGAATTGCTGAAATATTGTAGCTGGTCAGCTCATAACCACTGAGTTTAAAATTGATGCAATAAAAGTCTTGAAACAATTAAAACTGGAGAATGTGTATAAGGTAATTTTGTTGAACTAATTTAAAAATATTTCCTTGAATTTCTGAAATTTAAAATTATTGTTATCGAATCATAAACTTCTTTAATAATTCGTCGTAATGATATATCTATTTTAAAGTTTACGCTGGGTGTGTTGATTCGGTCATTCCGCATTATATACCTTGAGTGCTCTTGTGTTGTGTATGCTAACTGAAATGCTACTGAACAACAATCAAAAATTGAATATATATAAATAAAATTTGCAAATAGAAATTATTGTGATTAAATTCACTGGAGCCAACTAACCTCCACCGCGGCCATTGTAAAGAAACCATTTTACCACTGTGGTACAGTGTCTGTAATTATGATAGTATGGTTAACCATCTACACACCTTCTAATTCTTCCCGCAGAAACTCTACTTGACTCAAAAGATTTTTGTATTCTTCGCAGAGGCAGTGTTGACCAGGAGGTCCACGGGTGCCAGGTTCTCCTTTCAGACCAAGAGACCCATTCTGTCCGGGTGGTCCTATACATCTTTGATAACTTATGTTACGATCAACCGTTATTCCTCCGTTAATTTCATTACAAATGGAATGGCAAGAACCGCAATCCGTATTAGCAAATGTACACGAGAGAATCGATGAGTAAATGATGGAGACCAGCAGCAATAATATACAGAAGTCCATTTTATTTCTTTCGTGTAAAATGAGTTTATCACTGAAGCATCTGGTACATTCAAATAGCTCGTTTCTTACTAGCAGACAAAAATTCTCTGCACCAACATTTCAATGTCAAAACAAAATTGGAACTCTTTCCTATGACCAAATTAATTTCCTAATTCCCAAAGACATCTCACATCGTGATTTTCATACCAAATCAACTATTACTCTGTTGAACTATTGAACGAAAAACAGTGCTGAAATTTTTCAAAAATAGTGCAGTATTTGGAGTTTTTGAAATATCACTATAAGGAAACGATCGAGATCAAAAATTTACCTACTTCGGTCGGTGAAAGCAATATTGCGTTTATTGAGCTATTTGATGAGAATTCAAACAAAATTGCCTCCATATTGACCCTAATTTTGTTGGACCTTGGTCCGATGTAAATTTAGCAAAATATTGCCAATGGCGTAACAAAACTCCCTTATCTCTTTTAAACCAAAATTCTTTCAAGACACAATATCAAAAGATAAAGACCCTCTCACAAAAACACCTCATGAAGTAAATGAAGAAGACCATGCTGAACCAAATGATAAATTCGGATTTGGCTAAACAGCCACAGTACCAAGATGTAAACCTTCGATTGTTATTTATGAAGTCCCCATTTCTTTAGATTTTTTCACCAATTAAACAGCAGTTTTGGCAATTGCCTACTAGTCTAAATGGTAACGTGATAACGCAGGGAGTGATTTGTTATTCGCCATGTAAAACTGGTGTATAATATTCATCATTCGGAACTGAAAATACGTTCAAATGAATTGTTGCCAAGTGATAATGTTTGTGATTTTTTCGTGAGAATATTCTCAAGGCAAGTTTACGCGCACTATCCCAGAAGTGAAGAACAATCACCGACATTCAAAATACATACATGAGACATACATACAGAAATATAGCGGCACAGTTAGCTCTGATAAATACCCGTTCACACAAAACTTGTAGCTATCTCACTTAATCTGCCTCAAATCTTGCCCCAGAATCACAGCATAGCAAAATATCATTGACAAAAGGAACAATTAAAGATAGTAGTTGGTTGATCATAGTTGCAATTAAATTTTAATATTGACAAGACGCAAATCGTTACGCTGAAATCGGTATGCTTTTACTAAGTAATACTTTGAATTAGTAGCGGGGAAAGGAATATTCAAATTTTCACTCATTTATGTTAGAGGTATTAGGGCCTGAGACTATAAGAGCATCTACTTTGTTGGAACCCGATCATAAAATAAGTTTATGTTCAGCCCTCGATATATGTCGAAATATAAATGCGTATTTAACAAAATCGGCACACTTCTTTGATATAGAAATCAGTGTCGGTCCATGCAGTTTTGTCAAATATCACTTTATCGTGCAATGTTAGTTTATCTGTTAGCATAGAACAAATATGAAAAGATCAATGCAAACATTTGCACGAGTAGTCATAAACTGATTACGACAAGTTAGCATGAATGTTGCATCTGAGTTAGGATGGTTGAAAAAATTCGGCTTTATCAGTAATATATTTGAATGTTCGAGACTGGGATAATGTGAATAGCATCTTAGGAAACGTTACATAAAATTAGGCAAAAGTTATCCGACATGACTAGAATAGTTACAAAGCTCTGAAACAGTAATTGGCATAATATGTGTCATATGTAGGGTTACCATCTTTTTGTGACTTCAAAGCGGGACGCCTCCACAGACCGACCACCCTTAGCTGAGATTTTTTTAATCCTATTTATTATCCGATTTCACTACATAGAGATAGGCCTACCTAGCCATCTCGGCTGTCTTCATTGACCACATTGTCATCGAGAGTTCATGCGCATATTCTATGTCTAAATATCGGTTTCAGTTCAAAAAATAGGAAGAAATTGACGTTAACGATACAAAATAACTCGAATTTAGATTTAATATGTAAAGCAATAGAAATGAAGAATTAAAAAATAGCCTGCTGTTTTCGAGCACTGGGAATTTACTTATTCGCCCAATTCTACTTTTCTGTAGATAATCTTCGAAAATACATTATTCAATGTTACATTCTCGTAAAAGTCAGAGGAGGACCAATCAGTATTGATTTTACATGTGATAACGGCTCTCAAGTTCTGCTGACCAGCACTATCTTGACATACCGGGCTTACACATAACAAATTATCCAATTATCCGCTAACAATGTTAGCGGGAAACAACGAAACAAACAAAATCACCTATTCACATTCGGTAAGTAGTAGGCAACCGGTACGCTACACAGCAACAACAGTAACGAAAACATGATAATTGGTAATGTTCGTGTATTACGCTGGCTGGCCGAACGCCAAAGCGGGACTTTTGACTGGCCGGTCGGGACGCCGGGACAAAACGTTAAAAAATGGGACTGTGCCGCCTAAGACGGGACGTATGGTAAGCCTAGTAATATGGATATTTACATTAATACTCGCTTTTTTACAGATATATATATATATAACAATGAGTTTCATAAACTTCGTTGTGATTTTGTGTATGTTTTCCCTTTGTAAAATTGAATTTTACGGAGCCCAAGGACAAAATATCGGCACATTCTGGCATATCAGCGATCATCATTTAGATCCATACTACACTGAAAATGCTGATGACCCAACAAAAGTTTGCCCATCATCTGATGGAGCCGCTACATTAGATGCCGGGCCATTAGGAGATTATAAGTAGGTACCATAACGTTAAATCTGGTGTACAATTCCTGGATTCGTGGCTTCCCGTTATCACTATTGAGTGCTGACTGAGCACTATTGTCAGTCGGTCCCACGTATCTTGTGGCTATAATATGTGTCATCGAAACAGAAGTTTTATATTCAGAAAGTTTGTAATCATATGACGTGTCACTTTAATTACCAGCGCATGTTGGTATGGAAGTTGCTAAATAAATGAAGTTAGCTGGTGGGTTAGACTTCAAAGACGCGACCCGACGTAGACCCGAGATATCCAGCAATTCTCTAACCTTTCAACCCTCTACAGAAATAGTTTTTAATTGAGATGCAAAATGAGATGATTTATAAATTCAAAACCCTCTAGAATATTTCATGGAATGCTTACATTTCAGGTGTGATTCACCGTGGAATCTCATCAACTCTTCCGTTTACGCTATGAAAAGAATCAAACCGGATCCAGATTTTATTTTATGGACTGGGTAAGCGATTATTCTTGTTTATAATTCAGTTTATAAACATGCTAAAACAACATGATACTCTTATTATAAGTCACCAATTTGTTTAAAACGTTACATGAATCAACTGACAAAATTGAAGCTATTCACCTTTTATCAAGAGAATTTATTATAGGGAAACGTGCCCTTTTGGTCAACGGGTGTTTAACACCGGTTTCTAGTATAGATGACCTACAATTTATGATGCAGGAGCATATAATTAACTGAAACTTCTAACCAATAATCCGCCATGCACTGAAAATACTCGGGACAAGGATGATTGCTTTGCTTTTATTACAATAATCTAAATCAACAATCAACTGAATGATAAACATTGGTTGTTAACCCAACAAGGATTCAGATGGACAAAGGGAATTACGCGATGACCATTTTAAACTGTTATCACGACATTGAATATTCAGTGTCGGGTCCAGCTTGTTATGGTTATTGTTAAGATCGACTTACCATTACTGCCTGTTTGAAGAGTTATTAAAAAAAATTAAATTTATTATTATACATATTCTAGAGACGACACATTACATACAAGTGATGAAGAGAAGTACGTCCCGGCTCATACAGTTGTTGAAATTGTTGGCAATATAACTATATTGATAAAGAAGTTTTTCCTAACACAAAAGTCTATCCAGTTCTTGGCAATCATGATATGTATCCAAAAAATCAAATGGCGCCTGGCGAAAACGAAATCTTATCTCAAATTGCACAACTATGGGAAGACTGGCTGACACCAGAGAGTTTCACGTCGTTTCAAAAAGGTATATTTTGAATATATATTACCCCCCGCTCTAAGCACAGAGAATTATTATTTTTTGAACGCGGTACTGAATTAAAAATTTTCAGATGGATTCTATAAAGAAACGTTTGGATCGAAAAATCAACATTTGCTTATTGCGTTGAACAGTAATTTTTGGTACAAAAGTAACAAAAAAGTTGACGGAACTGGAGATCCAGGAGATGAATTTGCATGGATGGAAGATTCGCTGAATTCAGCTAAACAAAATTCACAGAAGGTGAGCTTAGAAAAATATTTTCGGTAGAAGTATTCAATGAGAGGTTTACTTTACTTGATCGATTTTCACCGATGCTTGTACCAATAATTATTAGCGGTAGTCCATTCATAGAGATCTACAAATTTTTGAAACAGAAAATTCTTGTTTTCATTCCAATTTTTTATTATTTTTTTTTCAATATTATAGGTATTTTGGTTGGTCATATTCCTTCCGGATACTTTGAGCACGCTGCAATTGAACCTTGGTATTGGCTATATCCGGAATACAATGAACGTTTCAACAACATCATACGATCTTATGCCGATGTCATTTCTGGGCAGTTCTTTGGACATCATCACACTGATCATTTCAAGATTTTTAAGGATGCATCTGGCAAAGTGGTAAAATATAACCTAATATCAATTTATATTATAATTTTAAGTTTTGAAACTAGTTACTAGATGAAAAGGCACAATCTATAATCTTCAGCTGAATCCAAAATCGTCCCCTCTGCGAAATGGTGGAAATGTAATCAAGGTAATCTGATTATACAAATCTTTTAAAACATGTTTTAAACAAGGACTTGAATATACAGTACTGCTAAATTTGTAAATCTCATTTATATTTTAAAAGCATAATGGATAAATGTAGTTCACCATGACTTGATCCCTCCCGTGACACATATTTATTTAATCGTGAAAATTGAGCAATCCAACAGTATTTGATTAGCACATCGATAACAGGTTTAATTTGCATTGCAATCATGAAGAAACAAATGTTTATCAATCAAAGTTTTTATCAATACTGCGAATTGGCTTGTATAACACTTGGATGCGGTTATGGCTGAGTGTTTGTATTTAGTTAAATTTTAACATTTTAAAGTAGACAATATCTTCTTTAGTTCTGCTTTGACAGACTCCTGCTTATGTCAACTTACTTGATGAAAGTATATTTTTTCCACTGTAGATATCGTCGGTATTACTGACGCCTGGAATTACTCCATGGATGACAACACTGCCTGGAGTTGACGACGGTGCAAACAATCCTGGAATTCGATTAATAGAGTACGACAGAGATTCTCTGCATCTCAAGGTTCTAAATTCGTTTGATATTTATTATATCTAATATATTATTTATTTTCATGGCCTAAATATGAATATATCCGACTGATTCTTTTTCGATTTCTAAGTTATTACGTCTTTTAATGACGATTTAGTGTTTTGAATTTCAAAGCGGAGGCAGAAGAAATTTGTGAACAAAGAAAACAATATGTATGAATATCATTTCTATGCGCATTTTAACAATTTTTCTAATGTTTTACTATATTCATATCATTGAATTATATTTATCTTCGAGCACGATGCTTCAAGCCTCTGTTTGCGCTAATGGTTTGATTCGTTAAAACTGTAAGCTCTGACGTCTGAAGTAATCTACATGGCTATAACTTCATGGCTATAACCATGGCCATGGCTTAATTCGCCCGCATGCTTGGTAAATCTCCACTTTACCATTATGTTTTGACTATTGACACTCATTGTGTCAGTTGGCACTCTTTGTGTCAGAGCTAGGGCTGGGCATTTTCGAATACCTGATGATTTTAGAATCAAATCGAGTAATTTTTTCGAATCGAATCTCGAATACTTGGGAGATATATAATTGTATGTAACTTTCTTCTTGTATTGGGTTATCCAGACACATAAATTACTGGGAACGTAAAATACATCACTTGGACAGATTGCTGAGCGTTCACGCACAATAAAATACTTGTTTTCATCAATAAATCACTACAGAAAAGAGTCATATGTCAGAATTGTGTTAAAAAAATATGGCTTCAATAAAAAGAATTGAGAAATTTACCTCGACAATTAGCAGAAAAGAAAAAAAACAAGATGGCGGCGATTCGAAATTTTGCCTTAAATCGATTCGAATAGTTTACTATTCGATTCGAATATTTGATTCGAAATGCCCAGCCCTAGTCAGAGCCAATGATCTGAAACAATATAATTATATGCCTCCTTCTCAGGATTACCAACAATACTACTTGGATTTAGCGAAGGCAAATAATGACTCGCAATCCGAAGCAGCTGACATGTGGGAACTCGAATACACAGCGACAGAAGCCTTTAACATCCCCGATATATCTACTGTTTCTTGGGGAAACTTAGCATTGAACATGCGCTCAGGATGCGAATCTATTAAAACATCATGTCCAGAAGTTTTCAACAAGTACTTCTTATACAATTCAGTTTCCTATAACCTTAAAAAGTGTGATGAAACATGTCAAAAATATCAATTATGCGCCATGACGGAAGTAGATTTTGACGCATACAAAAGTTGTCAAGACAACTGGGGATCTTCAGCAACTAGTGCAAACCTGACGGATATGTTTTTGATTTTATTAGGGTTGGCTGTCTTGTTAATTGTATAAAACCACTGAAATCATACAATCCAAGCAACAATGCGTCTGCTTGTGTATTCAAATCTTGTTACGTCATAACAGCTTTGTTTAATTAAATTACGTTGTATATAATCGGACAGCATACAGTTGCAAAACAATAATCGTAGCCGTAAGTATAATGTATTACAATCTATGCTAGTACGAATTTATTGAAATTAGTTGTCGCTCATAGTAATGCTTAGCGCTATACATTGCAGGTATCTCATAAAGCCTATATATATAAAGTATCCGTCACTTATAGTTCATATAGCATTGTCTAATTATTAGAATGTAAATTAAATGAACATGATGATTTTGAGAAAATGTGTTATTCATGTTAAAATCAAGGCAAGTTTAAGAAAATCAGGAATATACATAACCTAAGAATATTACAAATCAATCACTGCATTCGAATATTCAAGTAAATCCTTATATTGCATCTACATCTTGAATTCAAATATGAATGGGCCGATAAATGACATTAGGTTTATTTGGTGTGTTAAAATATCACCACTAATCCGTCATGATTAACTATGTACAATGAAATGAAGGGCCTATAATCGACATTGAATAAACCTTGAATGAACAGTCGAATTAAAAAGAAATACCAGTATAGTGACGTCAACAAATTGTATGTAGACATATCTGATCCCTACAAAAGTAATGGCTAAGGTCTGACGTTTTGAGCTAGACAAGTCTTGAATTATAAAAGAAATTACCAACCCTACGTCATAGCATTGGAGATTTGTCAATTGTCACGATACATGAAAAGAAAAATGAACGTAATGTTGCGAAAAATCAAATCATTCTGTTATGATTCTGCAGTAACCTCATGGCACATACTCACAGATGTACCGAGAAACAAAAGCTTCACTAGTACAGAGAACATCATTTAAGGATATTTCTCCTCGAACATGAGATTCTATAGTCATAAGAGCGCAATCTTCCATCCCCCAAACGTTATTTGGTTCTCCACGACGCCAATGGAAATTATGGAATACAATGTTGTCTGACCAAATCCATCTACCTTCCCGAGCAATATCGTTATATCCGAGCCAAAGATTACCAATTGAGTTTGGAATACCACCAAAAACTTCTCTGGAAGAAAAAAATCCACGAATTAACGAATAACTTTGAGGATTTGTTTATATTCTAATCATGTGGTTGTAATATAACATAAAACCGATTTTAACTGCTTCTCGAGTATAGTTTGGCAACATTCGTAACATTCAACACATCAATACAATATCAATAGTAAATTACTTTCTTATCGATTTTGTTCTCATTCCTGAGGATGGTAATCTTGCATTTTGTGCTTCGCAATTTGCTTTTGCTTGTGTCCAAGTAGCGGTGTCTTCAAATAAACGATACCACAAACCGTTGCTTGCTTTTTTCCAGACAAGAAAATCCAACTTGGCGTTTTCTTTGAATGCTGAAAAACGTCCATAAAGCGTCAACATTACTCGCTAATTACTCAATTTATTGCTTGCTAGTCGAAGAAGGACATGGGGCTTCCACTCCAAGATTCTAGCTTACGTTGACAACACAGTTGGTACACCAACCATTTGACTTGCATTATATTAGTTCTATTCCAGGGGTTCTGGACATGTAGAACAATGCATTGTGAAAGTACAACAAGGTAGATACTTTGATTGTCTTTGTTTGGAACTAAGAATTATATGAAAATTATCGATACAGTCATTTATGTGTAAAAGAAATTCACTCCAGAGGAATTCACGAACTATCGCTGGGAAGATGCCAACTATAGATTACATAAAAGTGGATATGGTGACACAATTAGAAGTAGTTCGTGCCAATAGCATCAAGATTATGGTGAGAAATTTCATATACTATATATAAGTACCTGGAAAAACTTGGCATAAAAATTTCTAGGAACAGACTGACAGTGACCGCACAAGAGCTCTCAATCAAGTATTTTGGTATTATATTTTACAACATTGTACTTTACATGTATATCAATAATAATGTCATCATAACCCAAATACTGAATCCGTCGCTAAAATATAAATTGGATATATACGTGTTTAAGACGTGTTGCTGTAGAATTTGATCTACATTTTACACTTTATGTAACACGAAGTAAAAATATTCACAACGTACCAAACAACATTTTCCTCAGAAATTGAGCTTTCGTCCATAATTCATCGTATTTCTCGCAGCCACACGATTCTCCAGGAGGCCCAGGTTCACCAGCTTCTCCAATTGGTCCCTCTCGACCCCTTTTCCCATTTGGACCCAAACATATTTCAACGCTCTTATTTACGAATAAGTCAGGCTCTTCCCCTGTATTGCATGATACCTCACAAGTTTCACATTTTGTACTGGAAACTACAGAGGTATTCATACTCTGAGCGTTTATGTTGCATATGAGTAACAAAGCTATAAATGATCTCATTTTTTTGAAATATACAGTATATAGTTAGTTCAGCAGCCTGGTTCTGTAAAAATGAAACAAAATATTTTTATAAAATATAAATATATATTTTATTAAAATAGGACATTACTGATGGCTGAACAGTATCACAAAAAATATTCGGTGTCAAACTTGAATCTTTGTCTCGCTTCTCAAACCAACAAAAATAATTCATGTTTTGAATCCCTCAATATAATAATTCCAGAGTCGCTTAACGATAACGTGCAATACCGTTATATTCTAGAACACGAGCATTATTATTTTTTCACAATTCGACAGTCTTTGCATCCACTCATACAAGGAGTGGTTAAAGATAATTTCCTTTTTAGTATTTACGAAGCATTGTTGTATTATTCGTTCACAAAATCATGTGAAAATTGATTGATTGTAACCGTCTCGCCCCACATATATAAGTTTTCAATAGTATGGGTGAAACTGTTCACAATCACAAAGCTGTGAAATCAGACTTACCTAAGAGACTACCTTGACGGGAATATATTGAAGCCCTATTACTTTTCGGAACAAACCGAGAAAACTCAAAGTTTAGACCACTGGCCTGCCTATCTGAAGTTCTAAAAGTAAAACCAACAACTGCAATAAACAAACTGTTGAAAAGAAGATGAACGTCATTGGCATCATGCAAGATTCATTCTGCAAATTTTTAATCATGCATCGGACAAACTTTTAAATTTTTGTTAAAAAATATATGTTGCTAATTTGTAGCTTGAAACCTAACCCTGAAACCCCGATCGTGTTTACAACATTTTCTGAAGTATTTTCCAATGTTCTAGCCGTGACACTATAGCTTGTAGTTTCCAAGTTATAAATGTGACCTCTGATTTAAGCACAATGTAATATTAAATGCGAATAATTTACAAGTCAAATATTCTACTTTACGTCAGTGAATTTTACGTTTCTTCATACACTTCACACTGTTACTGATGCAATGCAACCTTTTTGACTGGTTATCGACGTGCGACCGTATTGCCCGTATGCAGGATATAGTAGTTCTGAATAATATGGAAATGAAAGCCCCTTGATTGAAATTTCGAAACAAAAATGCACCTACTTCGACTTGTTTTCCGGCCAATTATGTTCTTTCACAATTTTTTGTATTGAGCGTGACCCGTGATTGAACGTATTTGGCGGAAGCATTCTTTGGCGGAGGGTCAGAAATTATAGGCCTACAATGGACGGTATTGTTATTGTATTAAACTAATATCAACTTTCTTTAAATCGGTGGTTGTTACAATAGTCCACAAAATGCTTTTGGTGTTTTTTCAATGCATTTTGGCTCCAACTATTTTAATATTCACACATGAAAATTTTTTTTGCACATAATGATTGCTCTAGTCTAGTGTATATATATCAACAATTCATTTTGTCTGCGTCACGCATTGAGTCGTCATCAAGTTCGTGAAGTTGCTAACGTCACAGTATTGATAACCCGTGTACAAGCTGACAGTTTGGAGTACAATATGGCTTGAGCGGTTAATGGTTTGTTTAGGTGTAGCAAAGATCAGCGCTGTAAAAATATTGTGAGCTTTCATTTACTGATCAAAATATATACCCTAACCAGTATAATATAGCCTATACTGCACTTGCAACTTGGTTTTGTCAAGGCGAAATATAGAATTTATGAGTACAATTTAAACAAATCGGGGGTCAATATAGGTTATATATATAAACAATTGTGTATCTGTTATATTTTGCAGAACGCAGCAATTTGCTAAACGAGGGCCTTTTTCAAGAACGTCAACTCTAATTTCCTTTGTCTCATGTCCCGATGGCGACATACAGCGAGTGAATATAGGCTAATCCAGCCAAATACTAGGACTGTAGACTGTAAACTACAGAGCGATAATTTACAATGTGGATGTGGGCAATATATATTACAGGCAACGAGAATAAAGTTGAAAATCTTTTTGCAGTGTGCTTTATGTCATTAATTTGCAGTTAATTTTGTTATTTATCACATTATGTATGAGCAATTAAAATGCGTAGAAGACTTTGCAAAGTTAGCTTCCCAAAAAATTCCTCCCGAAAATTTGGCATTTTATAATGGAGGTGCAGTAGGACATGAAACAGTCAAAGAAAATTGTGAAGCATATAAAAAGTTAGTAAAGTTTTACAATTTTTTTCCTGTATATTTAGCGGCCCTATGCACAAAAATAATATTGTAACTAAGAAAATTTCACTTTAGCACGATGGACATAATAATTTATGAATATTCGGAAAATATGATGCTGAATCGTTAAATTGGAAAATACGCTGATACAAAAAATAGGTCTCTGAAATCGTGAAATGTTCAAAAAAATGTTGAAAAGTAGTCATTACTGCCCTTGAAGGATCGGGATTACGCTCAGATTCTTCTCTTTTGGGGGGAACAACAGCAATAATACAACCTGAGCGTTTGTTTATAAAAAACTAAAATTAATTGCTCTCAGACTTATAAACTTGACTGAATCATGGAAAGCAATCGGAAGGCAGGAACCTCTGATAATGGATGGCTGTTTAAATGGTAGTGCGCGATGGGATTCCTTGGACTGGCTAAAGAGCATTACAAAGTTACCGGTGGTCGTCAAAGGAATATTAACAGGTTAGCCACCATATTTCACAGCGACCAATGAACGTTTTTTATTAAAAATATTGTATACATACTTCTATCGTAAAACTGGTTACGTGTTGGGCGGAGGTTTTTGTTCTTTTTCATGAACATATTATGAATCTTCGTCGATCTTCAGAGGAAATGGCCCTTGAAGCACTCAAACACAACGTTCATGGAATAATTGTTTCAAATCACGGAGGAAGGCAGATAGACAGTACTTTTTCAACAGTAAGTATGCATTACTTGATAAATTTTCTCAGTTTGTGAAAAATGAGTTTTTCCTCGAATGTGTCGTTCCCGTTATGGTTGATATATATATTTGAGTCATAGTATGCATTCCCACCAGCCTAGTCGTGTATGGATTATATCGTTTTGAACTCTGTTTTAGATTGATTCGCTACCAGAAGTAGTGAAAGCAGTGAATGGTAGATGTGATGTTTACTTGGATGGTGGAATTCGTAAAGGAACAGACGTCGCAAAAGCAATTGCTTTGGGTGCTAAAGCTGTTTTTGTAGGAAGGCCAATAATTTGGGGACTAGCGTGTGATGTATGATATCATCTATTTATTGGTTTACAAATCAAGTCTTGACTGTAGTATAGCTTAAAATTGCCCAAATTCAAATTCACACTTGATTATTCCATGACTGTTTTCAGGTCAAGTGATATTTATCGTCTTACTTAAAAAACATATTTATTAGGACCTCTTAACGCGCTAGTAGTGCTGCCAACTCTTTCATATATTTATACATAATGTCTATGACCTATAATCATAATCTACGTAAAACGAATTTAATTATTCAAACAAATTCGCGCACTATCAATTCAGAATAAATGTTCATCAACAATATAAAAGGTTTTCAAATACCAATAAACAATTCATCGGAAGCATTTCCAACGTTGAATACTCAGTTCTCCGAAATACAAGTAAAGATCTTTTATTTTATATATTACATGCAGGGAAAGACAGGAGCACAGCGAGTGTTGGAAATTTTAAGAGATGAATTTACTTCAACTATGCAACAACTCGGTATGTAGAAAGGGTGCGATATGGCGTTAATAGTTTTGAGGTATGACAACAAGATGTGTCTCGAAAATGTTGTACATCACTTGCCTGCCCCGCATGTGTAATTTGTCCCATGTGTCACACACCAAACATGCGACAAGTGGGTGACACGATTTTTCAGACCGTGAAAATTCACAAGTTGGACTTAAAATGGTTACAGGCTATGTAAGGCTCAACTTCCTACTAGACCAGGGGTGGGCAAATTACGGCCCACCGCAGTGTTTCATCCGGCCCACTTGTGCCTGTTAAAATATGACCATAGTTTTTATAACTATAAATTTCTGCTAAAAATATGATGACATGATGAATACGATGATATGAATTGGAATCCCATTGAAAATGTCGATAAAAGATCGTCGGCTAAAGTAAACACCGTAATTCCTCACGTTTTATAAGCACCTGAATATAATGTGCAAAATCATCAGAATATCCGAATTATTTTTGTCATTCCAAAACTCTAGCTCCTGATATTTCGTGCACACGTGAATGCCCCAACACATGTTTTTATATGATTATTGGCCGACATTGGGATTTTGCAAACGGTGATATCCTAAAAACCAAGACAAATTTAAATCCAATCCTATTATAATCAGGCAGTATACCGAGGATTTTTGCGTACGCAGATTGTTGTATTTAAGAATAGTAATACTTTCATTTATTGTAACTCGGCGCAACGGCGATCCACGTTGAAAACAATATGGCGAGACAATTTTAATGCTCGTATCGGCCGTGGACTGAATATTTTGCGCAACAGAAAAATCATTACCGCTCAAAAGGTCGTCAATTTTAACGAATTGCGTAATCGCGACGCCTGTTTCCCCCGTAAATGCACTAAAAATATAGTTTGCGCAAGTCAGTCATCTTACATTTTGACGAAGTAGAACTGTTGAATGTTTTTTTTTTATTTATAACATCATATTTGGTGGGAAAGGGGTCAAATCAAATCTCTGAAACGCGATCAGTGAAACGGGAAGGCGATTGACACATAGACTTGCGTTCTGTGAGGCACAATGACTTGACAAACCTACCCCTCGCTACTTTGAAATCCCAGGTTACAGTAAACTATTTCGTAAACGATGCGAATGGTGTATCATTTACTCTCTGTCTCTGGATGCCGTACAGCCTCTGAATTTGTCGAATAACTTCATTCATAATCACTTCAATTGTTACGTTGTGTTGTCTTCAATATAAACGTTAGCATGGCTCTTAAGCTTCTTTTTCTATCAACCTTTTCTGTACAGCTGCCGCAATTTGCCATCCTATGTAATACCGTCCCATTAATCATCGTGTCTAGTTAATTGCTAATATGCGGCTTTTGATCATCCAGCCCAGTAATCAAGTCTATTTTCCGCATCCGGCCCACTCATGAAAGTAATTGCCCACCCCTGTACTAGACGAACACACATAGGTATATATATATATATATATATAAAATCAGACGTTTTGAAGCAAATATACTACAGTGACCGATAATTTCCAATAGTTGCACTGGAGGGCGGACAAAAGTGGCGTATTTAAACGTCACGTTGTAGCTAGCAACTAATCGTTTTTATTAAATAGGTGTAACGTCAATCAAAGAACTACAATCGACTCCTAATTTAGTCGTCCACGAGTCTTTTGTACTTCGGAACAAGTAGAATGGAGAGATATGAAGCAACATAACTTCTGGCATAGATTTTTTCATTTCTCTGGAATAGTGCTGTTAAAATGCTTTATCGGTTTTCCGCTCGTTTGAACCTTAACATAGTATATATCAAACCATCGTACTGGAGCTTGCAGCTATTTATAAATTATCGGTCTGTGAGCTGATGGACAAATATGACAATAATTGTCTACATATTGCATTTGATGGTTATTTTATCGAACAACACAAAATAAGCCTACAGCCATTCTTTCTTTTTACCACGTTTGTTACAATCCAAAATTGTTTTGGATACAAGAGAGTAAAAATGTGAAACGATATGACAAGTGCGTTAAAGAGCAGGCCTCATCAGCTGCCTTCAAAGCAGAGTTTATAAAAAAAAATTGTGAAAATATATTCTGTGACTACCCCGGCCACAACCACCTTTTTGAAGCTTTTCAAAGATCATGAATGTGACACATTATCAACTTTTGAGTTAGTACTAGTTAGTAATTTTTAATACTAGCAACGGAGAGTACCGGTATTGATTCACAGAGGTTGTGTTTTGTGCTGTTCATCTCCAATTATAACTGATTGATGATCTCCGTTACTAATATTTTAAAACTTTTACATTTCGTCACATTTATTTACATTTTTTGCTCTGTTCGTACTTGTTAATTTTCAGCCTACATACACTCTTGACAAGTCAGATATTTCATTGAATAATGATCATTTATATACAGAAAATATTTGTAAACTGCTGTCTACTGGTCTATATAATATCATACTAAATCTTGTATAAAGGCCGTTCGTCCGGATGATGAATAAGTTGCTAATATCCGGAAAGTTGCTAATATCGCATTATTGATTATCCGTTTACAAGCTGATACAGTTTGCGGTAGCCTACATTAAAGCATTGCTCTCGCGTTTTGTCAGACCATGCATTTACATATCGGCACCGAAGCGTGATATAGAGCATAGGTTCTCAAAGTGCTCCGTACGGAGCCCCAGGGCTCCGCGAGAGAAACCCAGGGGCTCCGCGAGCTATTCGATTACTTTTCAAAATACTGACCAATTTTGTAATTGTTCAAAGAAGCAATAACAGCTTTGAATAAATCTAACAACAACTTTATTGCATTCGGCTCCGTCGGTAGTTTCAGAATGAAAAAAGGTACATCACGGATCGCGCGCACAATTGATTGCGTGCGGCTCCGTCGGCAGTTTCAAAATGGGTAAAAAAGGTACATCGCACGCACAATTGACGATTTCGCAGTTACTACGATGAAAATTTAACATAACAGCAAATTTTGTGATTTATTATGTCTATAAAAGCGTTTTCAATCTGAGGTGAGTCTGCTGAAACCAAACATGTGATCTTCCATTTTAAGTTTTAATATTTTGGAATGCCGCTTTTCAATCAAGAAATTTGAGTTGCGGATCTACCTCTTCATTAATTATTATTTTCAGCAGTTCGTTGCCGATGACTATAAAATGGTAACATATTTTTCACATTGAACTCATAATTCCCCACGAGAACAAAAAAGCAATTAACGTCGTCCGTCATTGTGTAACAATACATGTATATATTTGCCGAGGGAAATTTTTTTTTAGGGAGAATAAACACCGGCGTAAAGATTGTAGGTTCAAATACACGCCGCCATGCTGAGGAAAAAATCGGCGATTGTAACAAAATGCAATCGCGCACATTATTAGCGGCCTTTTAAGTCTTCCAAAAATGTCAAAAGATTCGAACCCGAATTTATTAGTATGTTTGTCAAGTGTCAAATTTACAGCTTTAGTATGTATAATTTATGTTTGAAATTTAGATATATTTATGACTTGTATTAACTCTATTAAAAAAGGTTCAGCATTTAAATTGAGTAAAGTACTTTTAACTTGCTCAAGAATATTAATCTGAAAGTAACAATTTTAACATTTATTTTGGGGCTCCGTGAATAATAGTCCACAATTTCAAGGGCTCCGCGACACCAAAAGTTTGAGAACCCCTGATATAGAGCATTGCTCTCGTGTTTTGTCAAGCGATGCATTTGAAATTTCGTTTGCATAGTATAAAATATATTCTTGGCATGACCGGACCCCAGTAATTTATTTTTAATTTTGTGTGCGGACCTTTGGTGAAAATAGTTGAGTAGCCCTGGCCTAAATATGGCTTGGGCGGCCAATGGTTTAAACGTAGCAAAGATCAGCACTGTAAAAAGTATTGTGAGCTTCTATTTATCGATTTTAAATTTATAACCTAACCAGTCTAATATATATCCTATACCGCATTTGCAACTTGGTTTTACCAAGGCGAAATATAGAACTTATGAGTACAATTAGACAAATTGGAGCTTGGTTATCTTTGCTTCCATTTAAAATAAACAAAAGCGACTAGGAAGTGCTTTGTAGTTTCAGGTATTGTGTTTATTGAGTGGGAAGTTGTCATACCCAGTTAAATGATGTCCAGTTGTTTGATATTGTCAGTCAGGAAGATTGGTGAATGATTTCGAAACTGCGTTGCTTTCAAAAATTCTTTTATGCTTCAGTATCTAAAGTAAACAATAGAATTGTCACTGGTATGTAACCAGAATTCCAGAAGCTTACGGTATCAGCTTAAACGCCACCAATCCCCCAGGCCCGTCATACACCTTACCGACGTACCACCGCATTACGTTACGATCAATAGAATAATTAATCGAATAATGAGTGGCTTATATGGTAAATTAGCATGTACGAAAATGTAATCAATTGTGTAACTTGGATAAATTATATTAAGACCAATTAGTCATTGTCATATGGCTTGGGGCTATATTTAAATCGATTATGTCCAGTAAAAAACAAGTTATGACGATTTATAATTCCGAGAAATTCTGAATTAACCGGTTTGACTCTGTTTAACATTATTAATTTGAAGAATAACAGTGAATTCTTACTAAAATAACAAAGATTATCCCTAAAAGCCACTGAAATTAAAGTATGCAGTATGATATTTACAAATCACGTTGTTATATGCACGCGACAAGTAGGCCAAAATCGTTGACATACATAATATGGGCTATATCACGATATAAAATGTTGCAGTTAGTACAATTTGCTAAACGAGGGCATTTTCTAAGAACTTTCTAAATAGCGAGCGAATCTAGGCTAATCTGGCAGAATACTTTACTGTGTACTTTAACTGGAGGGCGATAATTCACGATGTGGGAAATACATTATAGCAAACTAGAATAAAGTTGAAAATCTGTTCTTGCAGTGTGCTTTATTTAATTAATTTGGGACTGATTTTGTTATTTGTCGCAGTATGTATGAGCAATTGAAATGCATAGAAGACTTTGAAAATTTAGCTTCCCAAAAAATTCCCCCCGACAATTTGGCATTTTATAACGGAGGTGCAGTAGGACATGAGACAGTCAAAGAAAATTGTGAAGCATATAAAAAGTTAGTAGAGTGTTACAATTTTTTACTGTACATTTAGCGGTCCTAAGCACCCAAATAATATCGTAATGAGAGAAAATTTCTGTATCACTTTAGCACGGTAGAGATAATAATTTATGAATGAAAAACAAAAAGTCTTTAAAAATCACGAAAACCTTGATAATTTGGGTTCAAGACAAGAATGTCAAATTAGTTTTGGACACTCAAGTCTTAATAAAATAATTGGTATGCTATGATAAATAAAACATATTTTAACATACACAACAACGTCATTATCAGCACGGCTGGCGTTCTGTCAACATTTCAGAAAATAAAAGAGCCATACGACATTTTGAAGATAAGATACCCAATAATAAAATGCGTGTGTTCAGGTGGAAATTTCGACCTCGTCTTTTGAAAGACGTTTCAGAAGTTGATACTTCAACAATGGTATTGGGATCAAAGATTCCTTTCCCTATTTGCATCGCACCAACTGCCTTTCATTATTTAGCAACACCCAACGCAGAAATATCTACAGCACAAGGTAACGCCAGCGGCAGAAGAATAAATTCAGCAGAATGCAACAGTTTTAAATGAGAAATGTCAAACTATGTTATCCTAACGATACGTAAACTGCATACCCGACTTCTCTCTGAAATAAAAATTTTGATATATATTTATGTCTAAATATGATTGTTATTAAAAATTCACAAAGTAGCCAAATTTATCCTCTGAATAATATGAACTTTCCCGATAACCACTCACAATAATATAATCCAGTGTATTCTAGACGAATGTTTCAACTGCTTTTTCCGTTTCAGCTGCCGAGGCTGTTTGCACTGGATATATACAGAGCTCAGTGAGCACTAAAACGTATGAAGAGATTTCTACAAAAGTTCCGGGATGTTTACGATGGTGCCATCTTCAATTTTTCAAAGTTTGTAATTTTATTTCATCCTCTTAAGCTAATTGTTTGAATGTACGAGTATAGGGTTCTCTACTGAGTATAATGCAATAACAAAGACTGGAAGCAGACCAATGGTGACGAAATAAGTAGTGAAAGAAGAAGAGTACCAGTCAGGAGTACCCAGCTGATACCAGTTTTTGACAACCAATATCAAAATAACTATAAAATTAAAGAGCACAGACATGATTTGTAGAACATAATATATATAATAATTCAACTTCTTCAAAACTTTATTTCATTTTTTAAGAACCGTGAATTGGTCGAACACTTGGTCAGTCGAGCTGAGAAATGTGGATTCACAGGATTCGTAGTGACAATTGATCAAGCAGTACTTGGAAAAAGGATATACAGAACACCGGACGGAAAACATGCTGTCACATCACATCTACAGTAAATTATGTTGGTGTAATCTTCGCTGGTATAAGTCGATCTGATCCCGGATTCGGACAAAAAGCGAGCAATTCCACTTATAAAAGCTGGGGGATAAGCTGAATAATAAAAGGGCCACAAAAATGTCAGTAAAACTGTAGCCAAATGCTAAAATAATTCCACCGAATGTCATAAGGAATGTTAAAAATAACGTTACCGAATGCCGTGCCAAGGAGAGCCCGTGAATAATAAAAACCAGCAAGAATTGGGGGTGAAGTATCGGTTCGTGGCACCCAGAGATATCTTGAAAAATAAAATTATATCCGTCTATCGACGTTTAAGATATATAGATTGGTTAACTGAGAAGAAAGGTGTTTTTCGCACGAAAACTACAATAATCCCGATTTAAAAAATGTAGTTGTGAATAGCGATTGATTGATTCATTATGATGACCAATATTAATAACACAGAGCGGAAAGTAGCCATATTCACATTCGAAGAATTGGATTTCAATAATTAAGTTTTGTTGTTCTTAGACCTATAAACATGACTGAATCATGGAAAGCAATCGGGAAAAAGGATCCTTTTATAGTGGATAAATCGTTCGACGATCGTGCGCAATGGGATTCCTTGGACTGGCTGAAGAGCATTACAAAGTTACCGATGGTCGTCAAAGGAATATTAACAGGTTAGCCACCATCTTTCAAAGCGGCCAATGAACTGTTTTTATTAAAAATACTTTGTACATACTTTTATCATACAACTGGTTATGTAGTGAGAAGAGGTTTTTGTCCTTTTTATGAACATATTAACAATTTTCTTCCATTTTCAGAGGAAATGGCCCTTGAAGCAATCAAACACAACGTTTATGGGATTATTGTTTCAAATCACGGGGGAAGACAGATTGACGGTACTTTTTCAACAGTTAGTATGCATTACCCAATGAAGTTTGTGCAAAATGAGTTTTTCCTCGAATGTGTCGTTCGCCGGTATGGTTGATATATACCAGGGTGGTCCAAGGTTATCGCCTTCGCGGGCCACAAAATTATTTTTGCATTGTTCGCGGGCCACAATTGTGTCAGAAATAGATAAATAAGGCAATAGGAAACAAATACTTTATTGTGCAGCAACAATTTATCATCATTTGTCATTTACCAAGCTAAAACATGCAAAATACACCCGGAAAATCAACGAAACATGCAAAAGTTTTTCTATATCTATGTTTAATATAAGATTTCAAACTATTCACGACGGAGAAGGTGATCCCGCAAATATTATTTTTTGTAATACTGTTCATGCTGGTTGCAAAAAATCACCAGAAGGAATTATATTCTCAGGCCATAACATTGGTATTTATTTATTATAACTGTTGGAATATATTCCCAATCAAAAAGATACAAAGCCAGTGAACAATTTGGAATACCCAAGCACATTTCAACTTCGCTAGTTGCTTCAGCTAGCCGTGACACTAGTCAATTAAGTGGCATTAGTGATGTAATAAGATGTCGAAAAGATTTTCTGATTATTTTTATGACGAAACAACACTAAATGCGATTTTTTGATTACCCTTCAGCAAAGGCGACGCGGGCCACAGATAATGAAGCGGTGGGCCACATGTGGCCCACGGGCTCGGGTTTGGACCACCCTGATATATACATTCGAGTCATAGGATCAGCCTAGTCGTGTATAAATCAAATCATTTTAAACTCTGTTTTAGATTGATTCGCTACCAGAAGTAGTGAAAGCAGTGAATGGTAGATGTGATGTTTACTTGGATGGTGGAATTCGTAAAGGAACAGACGTCGCAAAAGCAATTGCTCTGGGTGCTAAAGCTGTTTTTGTAGGAAGGCCAATACTTTGGGGACTAGCGTGTGATGTATGATATCATATATTTATTGGTTTACAAATTAAGTCCTGGCTGGTATATAACTTAAAATTGCCCTAATTGGAAATTTCAAAAATTCACATTTGAGTATAGTGCATAACTTTTCTCAGGTTCGATATTTAGTATATCTCACTTGAGGAAACATAATTATATGAACCGTTTGACCCCATAGTGGTGCTGCTGACTCTTCCATAGGTTTATACATAATGTCCATGACCTTGCATTAAACCGTATCTACGTAAAACGAATTCAATTATCCAAACAAATTCGGGCACTATCAATTCAGAATAAATTTTTATATGAAAGGTTTTTAAATACCAATGATCAATTCACCGGAAACATCATCAAAGTTAAAAAAAAATCACTTCTCTGAATTACATGTTAAGATCTTTTATTTATATATATTACATGCAGGGAAAGACAGGAGCTCAACGAGTGTTAGAAATTTTGAGAGATGAATTTACTTTAACTATGCAACAACTAGGTAAGTAGAATAGGTGGGATATGCTATATGCCGTAAAGAAGTCTTGTGAAATAACAAGGTGTCTCAAAAATGTCATATACCACTTGCCTGCTCCGTATGTAGTGTACCATTTTCCCCACATCACATACAAGTGAGACAAATGTGGGGCAATTGGAGGCATTTTTAGAACAATAAAATCACGATTAGGCCTAAAAATGGTTATGGGCTATGTATATCCCAACTTCCTACTATATCAAAACACAGAAGTATATATAAAATCAGACGTTTTGTAGCAAATATATTACAATGATTGATAATTTCCAATATTTGGAAGGCTGGCGAAAGCAGCATATTAGAACGATAGTATTGGCTCGTGCTAGAGAAATAGATATTATGTCACATTGTAGCTAGGAACTAAATATTTTTATTAATAGGTGTAACGTCAATCAAAGAACTACAATCAACTCCAAATTTAGTCGTTCATGAATCTTTTGTGCTTCGGAAGAGGTTGAATGAAGAGTTTAATTTGAAGCAACATAACTTCTGGCATTGATTGATTCCACAGAATTTCTACGGAATAGGGCTGTTAAAATCCTCTGCTCGTTTGAATCTAAACATAGTATATAACAAAACCGCCATTCTGAAGCTTGCAGATATTTATAAATTATCGGCCTGCAAGCTGATTGACAAATATCACAATAATTGTCTACATATCGCATTTGATGGTTATTTTATCAAACGAAGTAATATACACTCATACAACACAAGATCAGCCTACCCGCACATTATTAACTTTTGTGTTAGTATACTATAGTTATTAATTTCTAATATATACTAGCAATGGAGAGTACCGGCACCGGTATTGATTCAAGGAGGTTGTATTTTGTGCTGTTCATCTCTAATTACAACTAATTCATGATATTCCGTAACTAATATATTCAAACTCGCACTATTTCGTCAGATTTATTTTCTGCTCTATTTGTACTCGTTAATTTTTAGCCTACTTACACTCTTGACAAGTCAGATATTTCCTTGAATAATGACCATTCATACGCTGTGCACCTGCTTAGGCAACGATCAGTTTCATGTGAATTTATTGTCTATTCATTCCGGTACCTACTACATTTTTGTTGTGCATATATATATTTTAGATAACCTGCAATTGTAGAAGCTGATTTGCTGATAAAGTGATAGACTACCGTTGTATTTCTTTATTATATATATATATATATGTACAAACAGTACAGTGTCAACTTGATTTACTGTACCTGGAAGTGATTTTCCTTATTTCTGCACACTCTTGCCACTTCACATTGTAACCACGTGGGTGACTATAAATCAACTCCAAATTTCCCCAACCTATTTTTCAGGACAGTGACACTTTCATATCGTCCCGTCTGTGGTCTGATGGCTCTACAATACAATTTCTATCTCTAGTTAGATATTTTAGTTATATAATTCGGCAAAACCCTACTCACAAACAATTACAGTAGTTCGGTAGATAAAAATTACGTTTTTTTTTTCGATTACAACCTAGCTCGATAGCCAGCTTTGGTCCCCCACAACCTCGATTAAAATTAGGAAAGACTTCACGTTTGCAGTGATTCTTCCATTTTAAATTCCCTTAATTTTGAATTATGAGACACTTTAATTCCCAACTTGAATACAATTGTATCTGAATATCCAGAAAGTAACGTAAATTCCAGTGCAGATGGTCAGTCAAAAACAACACACTTTTGAACAGGGGTAGATGTGGTTTTTGGACTGGGGGCCAGAAATTTTGCCCATCTAGACTGGCGGGCCGTGTAAGTGTGACGTAAAAGTTAATTTTAGGAACAATATTTACAGTGATACAAAAGCAAAGTGGAAAATAATTAGCCCCGTGCCGAAACTAAATTTAATCGCAATTTCAAAAAATTCCTTGAGGTATATTTTAGGTAAAACATCAAAATTTGGTTTGGTTGTGGCAGCATCAGGCGGGCCAGATTGAATTACCCAACAGGCCGGATTTAGCCCGCGGGCCGTAGTTTGCCCATGTCAGTTTTTGGAGGTTACAAATAGTTTTATCGCCGATAGAAACTAATAATTCACGTTTATTCAGAACCACATTTCCATTAATTTTATTCGAATAAAAGCAATATTATCACATGACTTCATTTAAAAGATAAAATGAGGGTCGTCACACTACTCTGACTGGGGATGTTGGCAAGGAATGGGCCTAAAAATGAAACAATCTGGATGGAACACAATCTCAGTTAACGAATACCGAATAATCAAATAATGAATATATTTTTATACGTAAAAGGGATCCAGAACGTCGGAGGTCGATACTACATTGGGAAATTGATAGAAACATTGAATGAAAAGTCGGCAATAAAGCGTTTTATTACTGGTTAATGGTTAATTCCATCATAATCGCTGATTGTCTTTGTCGCCGCGATCGTTTCGGCGGCGATATCCTAAAGTTGGTATTCGGGCTGGTTTCAGAACCAAATTAATTTTATTCTGAGTTTTATCCTCTGCCTTGGATTTGATCTTCCTTATCACCGTACCTGTTTAAAGTGAACGGTAACCGAGATGCAGATATTTATGAAAATAATAACTGAGTTTCTCATGCCTCTCTATGGCGTTCGTGTTATTTTAGTATTAGATAGATAAACCAAGCAAATTTACGATTGCGTGAATCCTGAATGTTGATTTAAAATAGCGATTGAAGGATTTGGCAATAAAGGAATTTCTAGGCATTTGTGCCTAATAGTAGGTCAGATGCTAATTGTAACTAATTCCTTCAAGTTTTAACGTTTTTTTCTTCAACAAAACAACACCCCGGCACAACATTAAGGCTTAAGTATTACTGCCCAAATGCTTCAAAATTTAACAATTGTAATCATTTTCGATGATAATAGACGCAACAATTCGTTCGTGAACGAGTCAGTGTGCATTGTTACAACGAAATCCACGATTGATTTTACGTTCTACTCTTAGCCCAACAGCCATGCATGGTCGAATAAAATGTTTACATATTCAAAATATTACTTGGTCAAGGATGGAAGGGATCACTGAAGAGCTAATACGAAGTGCTTTAAATGGAGTAGGACTTAATGAGTGTTTTTCATACAAGTAACTCATGCCAGCTTATGGAAAAACTTTCGGTCATTTTTAAATCCATGCTATTCATATAACTAGAGTTTTCTAATGACCTAAAATCGCCATTTTCCCAATGAAACGCCGCAAAGTCATTTTAACATTCCATTTTGATCAACTTCATGTTCGGTAATGCAAGAAATGGCTAACGACATGTCACCAAGCAATCGGAGTTTAAAATCTGGGAAATTTATTTTAAATTCCTAATCTGGTTTGACGTTTCTGAATTTACGAAACGGTCGGTACGTGAAACGATACGTTAAGTGCAAAGATAAGCATATAACACCATTACGCAAAGTAACGACTTTTCAAATTTTTTTTTGTCTTTTTTTTAGAGCGCCGTTGGGAAATCTCGCACAATTCACGATTGAGTTGGAGACGCGTGAGTTCGGCGCCCAAGCAGGGCGGCGCAGATCACGTGGTAAGGGACATTCGAATAACAAAATGCCATTCGAATATTTTGCCCAGCCCTAGTTGTTACGTGTGTTGTGTTGTTACAATGACTCGGTATTTTAAATACGCGCTTACGGTTTGTTGCTATTTTACCTTGCGTTGTTTGTGTGCGCTCTTCATAACTTTGAGGTTTGAAATGCGGCCCTGGGACTAAAAAAGTTTGAGAACCACTGGTGTAGATCTTATTTATGAAATGGTCCAAACATTGCACAGGCAGATCTTCCCAGGGGTCTTTGTTTCAACACAAGTATACTCTCAATTCAATCTAGTGCTATATTATGGCCTAACTGTAATCCATAATTTAATGAATATTTGTTTAACCGTAACCATTTTTGTTCCGCTAAAGCAGTTACCGATGTCAACATTCGCAGCTTGTTTTCGTTCAGTCAGTTTGCATAAACACGATCTGAAATATGTAACATGGCTAGATGCACTATATGGGTTGAATAAAAGCTAACACAAGCTAAAAGCAAGAATAGGGCAATTCGTATATATGGAATATATCCAAAGCGTAAATTTGAATACGGGTTTAGGTTTCTTACTTGTTCTAACTTGAACATTTCATTGTTCTCGTTCGCCTCCATTTGTTTACGCCGTCGTCTTTGATTCAATGATTATACACTAGGAATCATTTAGTATTACGCTATGGGCTAACTAACTGAAAGAATGAAATTATCTCTAATAATCATTGCCGATTTAGATTATCTCACCAATTTCAGATCTTGTAATCTCAATTCCCCCCTGTAAACATTTGAATCAATAATTGTAGGCCAAAGCTTAGTTTAACTGCATTAGTATAGCTATGAAAAATGGCTGAAGATAAAAGCGTTGGATTATGAAAAATTAGGATTAACCGGTTAACCATTCCCAGCCCTAATTGTGACGTAACAAATGAGTGAGATATCGAAAAATTTTGTCGAGAAAAGCGCAGCATTCATTTAGCAACATTTTTAATATAAATTTGAGTTGGGTTGCGCGAGACTAACTTCCTATCTTTTCTCTATGCCTTTATGCTAGTGGATCCGTATGCGTATACTGCAAGGATACTGTAGCTGGAATAAATATGACTATTCTATTCAATTGAATAGAATATTCTTAATATAGTTCGTCTGTGCCACGCTTTTTTTCATTTCAGGTAGTTTTATGAAGTTGCACAGCTCGTGATGGTTAGAGTTACCTTGTAAATTGATTTAGACGAAATATAAGCGATCAGGGAAGGGAATCCGAGAGAAAAGTGCAGAAAACAAACTATTGCGTAATTGGGATGCCATTTCCGAAAATTTCTCGTGTCTGAAAAACTTTGCAACAGCATTACTCTCCATGTTTTCATCTACATATGCTTGTAAATCTCTGTTCTCAGTTAGGAACTTTAATAAGTTTTGTAATAGGAGTAGCTTGAAATATGAAACCAATAGTTCGTGTATTTCTTTGTTACGAAATATAGACCCAATGCAAAATCTTTATCAGCGATAATGCCGCAGCAGAAGTCTCACTTAGAATAAGATATAGAATAAGAAAAGTAATCAAATTTATTTATCGGACGGATATTTTCCCGAATAGTGAATCTGTCTGTACATGTTTAGAAGGTTTAATATTGTGTATTTATGCTTTGAGAGTAGCAATGCGTTGTTTTTGATTTTAGTCGGCACGTTACCGTACCGCATATGAGTATCGGGGAATCGAATTCTTTTTTGTTTGCCTGGCAACGTAATGGAGAAATGACTCGGATCACTTGGTATTTCAATTCACGTTAAAATTGGATGGAGAAGAATAGATCATTACCCTGTACCGTTATTTGTACCACGATTCAGGTGCTGGTAAGTTAAAGCATATGATGTTGGGACGTTTTCATGGGAAATGTTTGACTGCGGTACCTGATCTGGTAATACAAGTGACTCAGATCATATGATATTTCAATTGATGTTTAAACACAATCAAGAAAAATGAATCATTGTCACAGGACCTAAAAAAAAACTATGACAGATCATGTACCACCACGGTATCCCGATACAGGTATTAGTAGGTTACCGCATATATATGAGTTTGGGGAATTGACCTGCGTGTCCATAAATTTGAGCATTGCTCTCTTGTGTTCCTTAACCATGGTAATATAGCTTCACCAAATTATAAATGTAAGAACCTTCATATTACAATTTAATCTAACTACGAATAATTTAGGAGCCGAATATTCTTTTTTTTTCGTCAGCGTATTTTACGTTTCTTCACTTTACATACATCTCACGCTGTTACTCATGGTCGTATGTCTCCTCATTGCAACATATTTGACTGGTTATCGACGTGCAGCCGTATTGCTTGGTGGCAGGATATAGTAGTATTGAATAATATGGCAATGAAAGCACCTCGATCGGAATTTAGAAACAAAAATTCACCTACTCCGACGTGTTTCCCAACCAATTAGGTTCCTTTATTGGGTTATTTCACATTTTTTTATAATCAGCGTGACCCGTTATTGAACTTGTTTTACGAAGGACGTTGTTCAGATCGCGCGTGAAAAAAATATACAATGGGCGGTATTTTTATTGCATAAAACTATTATCAACCACCATTAAATCGGTGGTTGTTACGTTTAATAGTTCACAAAATGATTTTGGTGTTTATTCAATGCATTTGGCTTCTACTATTTCGTATTTTAATTTGTAATTTACACATGAAAATTCATTCAAACAGTTTCACAATTTGCTTTTTTCGCACATAACGACTGCCTCGTGACAACAATTCAGTTTGTTTGCATCACGTATGCGGTCGTTTAGTTCGTGGAGTTGCTAACATCAGTATCATCAGATTCCCAGTATTGTATACAAGTTGATACAGTTTGCAGTACAATATGGCTTGAGTAGTTAATGCAGGGGTGGGCAAGGTTTTTGAGTCAGGGGCCACACATTTTGCCCACCTGGACTGGAGAGCCATGTAAGTGTGACGTAAAAAGTTATATTTTATGAACGTAATTTTATTTACGGTGTTACAAAAGCGAAAGTGGAAAACAATGAGCCTAGTGCCAAAACCAAATTTAATCACAATATCAACAAATTTCTTGAGCCTTTTTTAGCTAAAGCATCAAAATTTGTTTTTCGCTTGGTTGTGGCAATTGTCAAAACAGATTTGAGATGAGTATCGAAGATCAATGAAAATCGGTGGTAGATTTGTTAAAATTCATCCGACTGACGGTCTGTTCACAAATGCATGTGGAGCCAAATGCCACAAATATTGTCTGTGCCATTTTTTGAATATTTTGAAACTTGGCATCACTCAGATAAGCGTACAAGTCATTTAGCTTCAAGGATTTGAATTTCTCTTTTGAAATATAGTCACATTGAATATCGATTCTCATTGTAGCTCTTGTGGTGATGTTGTTGTAACTTGAAAAAATGAGACGAAACAAATTGGAACGATTCTTGAAGCTTTTGAAATCGCCGGCAGAATTCTTTATGGAGACGTTAACAAACCTTTGTTAACTAAATTAAAACGACGCTAAATTAAAACTCTACGTACACAACAAGCGTACGAGGCGAAAGAAAGAGATGTGAAAAGCACGACGTCGAATCAATTGAGCGAGAAAAAGTAAAGTTTTGTTAACGTCCCCATGACATGGAAAGTCTGTGGCAACCCATAATACAACTTACACAGACTACGATCATAATCTAACAAGCCTATTTCACTATACAGATTTCAATTACAACAACTGTGTAGTGCATTCAGAATGCACCTTTCCCCGATGTTTGACCCCGGAAAATTCTCCCTATACTTTACCGTTGCAAAATTTTCAGGGCTATTTTAGGAGTGCTTTTCCGAATTGGCTCCTGTAAAATGGGGTATTCGTTTCAAACCATCATTATGATTCATCGCACACAACAATCTGTTTTTTAAAAGTACCGGTAAAGAATTTCATGCTAGTCTGTCACAGCTATTTCTACACTAATTTTTATTACGCAATTGAATTAAAACTCCTAGGAAGACAGAGTGATCATTGAATTATCTGATTTACATTTAAGTTCTCGAAACACAACTGAAAACTAACGAATAGAGTTCAAAAACGCGAAAACGAGGTAATGTTTACAACCACGTTCGAAAATCTGTCTGAGTGAGAAAAGTGTCTGAGCGGATGCGAAAAGGGGGCATTGTTACGTCACTTTTTGCATCTTGCTGATTGGCCAATGTCACGAAGTAAACAAGGCGAAATATAGAACTTATCGGTACAAATTAGACAAATCCGTGCTTAATAATCTTCGCTTCCATTTAAAAATAACTGAAATAGATTAATAGTCCCTTTTTTATGTATGTGTTATGGTGTTTATCAAGTGGGAAGCCGGCATACCCAATTGAGTGATGTCGAGTTGTTTGACATTGTCATGAGTGAAGGCTCACAGGCAGATTGGTAAATAAATTTTAAAACTGCGTTAATTTCGAAATTCCTTTATGCTGCAGTATCCAAAGTAAATAAGAGTATTGTAATGCCACTGGCAGGCAACCAGTATATAATATTTACAGATCATGTTGTTATCTACATTCTACATTCTACACGACAACGAAAAGTAGGTCAAAATATAATAGTAGGTCAAAATCAATGACATATATATATAATATAGGTAGGGCATAGGCCAGGGGTCGGGAACCTTTATTGTCAAGAGAGCCATAAAACGAATATATTTTCAATTTTATTTCTGTGCGAGCCATAAAACGAATTTGTACTCAAAAGTTAAAACATACAATGTCCCAATATACATTTAATGTGACTTCTGATGCTGCATGTTGTCACTGAGGGTCTTGAAGTCTGGTTGATAATTGGTGAGGTTAAGTTTCATACAGACGTTGAGGCTTTCATCTGTTAAACGAGATCGCTGGTTTGTCTTAATGTTTTTCAAGTGTTAGAACGACTGCTCACATGCATATGTGGATCCAAACATGGTCAATACAGCAATACACACTCTTTTCAGTGTGCGGTAAGTGGTAGGAAGCGCGTTCCAAGTTTTGACAATCAACTGGTCTGCGGGTTGAAGTTTTTTCTTTTCTGTCCATTTATGGTTGATCGCGAGCTCCGCTTGTTGTCGTTTAAGTGTTTCCAAATTTTCATTTAGTGATTTGAACTTGTTGACCCATACGTCTGAAACCTTTAGGTCAGCAACTTCTAACTCAAAATTTTTGATGCAGACACCAAGAATGTAACTCAAGTCGACGTCGTTTACAGCACACTCATATGGATGAGTGATGAACTTAAAAAGACTAATGCTTTCACAAAATTCTGCAAATCGCGCTTTGAATGACTGCAGGAGATTACATGTGAAGCCAACTAGCTGCTGGAGATCGAAATCATGAGTGGGATTATTCGCAGTGATTACATCTTTGAAGTTTTTCAGCCTTTCGAAATGTAACAGACGACCCGTTCCAAGATCCTCAATAAATAACTCCAGCCTTTTTTCAAATGCAAACAAAGTTTGTTGAAGGGATGGGATTGTATTTCCGATTCCTTGCATTTCCACATTGAGCTGATTAAGATGTTCAGTCATGTCCACGAGATAATAAAACTTCCGGAGCCAGTCAGGATTGGTTAACTCAGGATGCGTAACATTTTTCATCCGGAAAAGTCCGGATTTCATCTAAGCATTCTGCAGAACGGTTGAGCACCTTCCCTCTTGACAACCAACGCACATTGCTGTGCAAAAACAAACCGGGATAATTGTTTCCAACTTCAGCCATCAGTGATTTAAACTGGCGATCATTTAAAGCTCGGGCAACAATAAAATTAACCACCGGAGTGACCACATCCATTACGTCGCTAAACTGCTTGCCACACAATTGAGCACAAAGCGCTTCCTGATGTAGAATGCAGTGGAAACTTGGGATGGGTCTTTTTTCATATTTACGAAGAAGCGCTACAAACCCTTTGTTTTTCCCTATCATACAAGGTGGCGTCAGTGCAAACTGAAACAAGATTATCAATAGGCAGCTTTTTTCCGTTGCGAACTCCATGAAAGACCGAAATAAATCTTCTCCTCGTGTTGTTCCTTTCAGTGGCAAAACAGCACGACTTTCTTCACGCAGTGTGTCACCCACAACATACCTTGCAATTACACTGAACTGTGATAAATGGCTTACGTCCGTAGACTCATCAAAAGCAAGAGAAAATAATTCCGCTGTATTTATATCCGTTAATTGTATTTCCTCCACTTCATTTGCCATCATGATAGCGCGATCGTGAACAGTACGTGCTGACAGAGGCACGTCTTTAATTCTTTTTATTATTGTATCTTTATTTGACAAGTCCTCAAAAAGTTCATTGGCCACATCAAGCATAAATATTTTGGCATACTCGCCATCTGTAAACGGCTTTCCGTTCTTCACTATTGCTAAAGAGGCAGCAAAGCTAGCCGAAGTACAGTTACCTTTCTGAGACCATGCTCGAAGTTGCTGCTGACTCGCTTTCACTTGGCGAAGTAGTTCTAAGCATGCCCTCTTCCTGATGTCTCCCTCTGGATATTTAGATGCGAAGGATGTGTGGCATGTGTGAAAATGTCTCTTTACATTCGACCGTTTCATCGACGCGATTTGAGCATTGCATATTAGACAAACTAAATGATCTTTTCTCTCCACAAAGGCAAATTTCTCTGTCCATTCAATCTGAAATCCCCGATACTCATCATCTTTCTTTCTGTTGGCCATATCTGTAGTGCTTTAAAAATTAGTTTTGCTAATCCAGTCTCAATATTAAAGTTACAAATGAGGAGTGTACAATAGGACGGAAGGCTTCGTTGCTCCGCGATTCTATCACTTCGTGATGTCTCAAAGTTCCAGAATCCTCTGTTTTGTCACAATGCTTGTTGTCTGTCAATTCTCTCACAAAACATAGACATGCGCTGAGCGCGTTTATCAAGCGCGTTGGCGTATTTTCTGCCATACCTGGCCATAAAATAGTCTCAAATCTGGTAACAATACTAAAATTAACCTTTGAATATTGGATTTTCACTGGGAGCCATATGCGGTCACCAAAAGAGCCATATATGGCTCGCGAGCCATAGGTTCCCGACCCCTGGCATAGGCTATATCACAATGGATGTTTCTCCCGAGCATCGATTTTCTTGTTAACGATGACGTAACAATTGGAATTTACGCCGCCGCTCAGACACTTCTTTCGCTCAAACAGGTATTTGATGGCGGTGTAAACATTGCCTCTTTTCGATAGTTTTGCATGTTATTTCTCAGTTTTTAGTGGTGTTTCCAGAAAATAGTTGTAAATCAAATAATTTAAATGTCATCGTGTCTTCTGAGGACCTTTATTTTAGTTACAACAATCCAAAATTGATACCGCTAACGCTGCGATAGATTAGCCTAAAATTAGTTATCAGTGCCTATTTATAGGCTTATAAGCAGCACGTTGTTCATTGTTATAATAAAAATGATAGTTTGGAACATGCGAGCCAGTTGGTAATAGCCAAGTTTCCAAAACGCTTCCAAAATCAGCGTTGAAAGTTTTGCAATGATAAAGTTTAGGGATAATCTTTCAGAGGTCAAGGGTCGTAGAAATATCCATTGTGTATCTGTGATAATATTATATATTATAGGGAATGTTATATTTTGCGGTATGTAGCCACTTGCTAAATAAGGGGAATTTTCAGTTACGTTTTAAAGAGCGAGTGAATCTAGGCTTATCTCGCGAAATACTAGGTCTGTGTACTTTGACTGCATGACGATAATTTACAATGTGGGCAATACATTATATCCAACGAGAATAAAGTTGAAAATCTGTTCTTGCAGTGTGCTTTATGTAATTAATTTGAAGCTGATTTGGTATTTGTCACAGTATGTATGAGCAACTGAAATGCGTCGAAGACTTTGCAAAATTAGCTTCCCAAAAAATTCCTCCGGAGAATTTGGCATTTTATAATGGAGGTGCAGTAGGACATGAAACAGTCATGGAAAATTGTGAAGCATATAAAAAGTTAGTAGAGTTTACATTTTTTTGCTGTATATTTAGCGATCCTATGCACAAAAACAATATCTTAACGAGATTAAATTTCTCTTTCACTTTAGCACGACAGAGTTAATAATTTATGGATATTCGTAAAATTGTGATGCTGAATCGTTATGTTTCAAACATACGCTGATGCAAAAAAAAAGGCTTTGAAAATCATGAAAACCTAAATAATTTAGGCTCAAGACAAAAATCGCAAATTGATTTGAAACACTCAAGTCCTAATAAAAAACACGTGCTATGCAACAACGTCATTACCAACATTCATACGAATCAACGGTTGCTGCCAGTAGCATTTTTACGCTGCTTTGAGAGGACGCGCCGCAGTATGTTCCCCGGCTTTTCATTTTAGGGGGGGGGGGGGGTGTTTTCAAATTTAGGGAGTGGTGAAGATTTCGCAACTTTGGAATGTCTTGGGGTCGCCTAATTGCAGAAACCTGTGTAACTAATACAGTATTAGATCGTAAATTCAGAAATCGTGTGGTATTTGTGTCTCCCGAAAATGGTGGTTCAATTTCAAAAGGATGGATAAAGTATACAAACAACAACAAATTTTAGTGACAATAATATGGAGACTGAAAAAATGAAATTACGCCGATAGGTAGAATCATTGTTGAAATTAAACTGGTCTAAGTTAAGTGTAAATTTTTCCCTAGTTTATAATCTCGAGTTAGTGAATCAAGTGCCTTCCGAGTCAATTACGGATTTCAAAAATTGCGTCGATTCGCTGTATTCTCGAGTCCCAAGCTGACTCCCTGCATTTTCGTGTAATAGGTAGATGAGCATTAAGTATATTAATCACTCCTAAATTATGTGTCCCCAACACTGATGGATTGATAGTTTCAAAGACAAAACTAGTAACCAATGTCTGGTATTTCTTTGCTTCAGCCCACTGTAAAATATTCATAACGTTGGCGAGTATATGAGCCTCTCCTAATTTTGACATGGGGTAGGTAGTCTGAAATAGTTTGATGCCTGTGGGAAACAATGCCAAATCTATCCAAATTTGATGCCCAGAGTTGCTTTAGATGCTGATTCTTTGCTAATTTTTTATGACATATTTCATTCTATTTAATAGAACGCCCCATTGTGCATTAGGATTTTTTCGACTGTGCCCAACCAGTGGGACACTTGACAAACGTTTTTCAAAGCATTTTGGTTGTAAAACGTGTGCCGCTTGGGAATTTTTTAGTCGCTGAATACAAAATACATTTGCCGCTCTCTGCATTAGCCCCGCAAATGAATGTGCAAGTTAATGGGCTCTAAAGATGCAAAAGAAAAAAGTGTCCTTCCGCTATCTGGAAAACGCAATTCCACAACGACTTTATCAATTTAATATTCTAAATTCATGATAAAGTTTCTTTTCTGACAAATATTAAATCATCTAATTCAAATGATCAGAAAAACGTCGCATCTAGCAGATCTACGAGGTCTAGCAGGTCTCGTATAATGGGGCCGTGTCTGAGAACATGTATACCTAATTAATCTGGTTCGGAAATTCAAGTATTGTCAAACATAGTGCGAACATTTTTAGAATCACCGCCTAAAGAATATTATTGGTAATAAAGTAGCATTTTTCGCCTATATTCAGATATTAGCAAACCCATGGTACAACTTAGACAAGTCGCTTTTACTGCGCGCATCGTTTTATATTCAGGTGTCACTCTGGAGATTATTTATGTCCAAAAATGAGCAATAAATTGGTGAGATTGGTTATGTGTTTATGAAATTTTGGGATTTCCAAAAGAACTCACTTTTGTTGATGATGTATTGAAGGAATGAAAAGTCAAAAATAGGGGGGGTGTTCGAAATTTTAGGGGGGTGTAGGGAAATCACTGGGACGCGGTGATTGAGCGGTAGATGATTTGAGCCTTCTGAGCGATAGTTGTTTCATTGAGTCCCAATACTGTACTTAGAGTACGTTTGCCGTAATATGTCAGTGTAAAGTAGATGCTGACTAAATTTGACACGATGTCCGTCCGGTCACCTGGCGGTACCGGTGCACCACTACCGTACTCAAGCCAGCCTGCAAACAGACCGTGGTACAGATGCAATCGGCATGTTATAATATTAAAACTAGAATTCAGTTGGAAACCGAAGACTTATCGATCGAAGGTTAGGGGATCCCCCAAAACAGTGGTCTTGCTCCATAGTGACACCGTGTGTCCCATCACTAATTAATTAATAACTCGCTATATATATATTATACGATATAATCCATCCAAAATCAATAGGCTTCTGATCCGAGCTATGATGAATGCACATGCAAAATTTGGAGCAGATTGAACCTCGCTTTCGTGAGATATTGCGTGCATCTAACAGACAAACAAACGAACAGACAAATACCTATCAACATACATACCGATCTTAAGATCGATCGATAAGTAAAGACTGTTAAAGCAAAATTTGCACACATCGAGCTTTTCAAAGCAGGGACGATTAGCAACTGCGCGAACTCTGAAAGAGTCCCCTCAAAGATTAGTGAAAACGTTGATGGCAGCATCGGTCAATGAAAGTTGGTAATTATCAGCACAGCAGGCGTTCTGACAACATTTAAAAAAAATAGTCTTATGAAATTTTGAAGATAGAGACAACCAATTATAAAATACGTGTGTTCAGGTGGAAATTCCGACCTCGTCTTTTACGAGACGTTTCAGAGGTTGATACTTCAACAACGGTATTAGGATCAGAGATTTCTTTCCCTATTTGTATTGCACCAACAGCTCTCCATTGTTTAGCAACAGTCGACGCAGAAATTTCTACAGCACAAGGTAACGCGAGGAGGAGAATGAATTCAGCAGAATACAACAGTATTTTATAGGAGAAATGTTAAACTATGTTATCCTAACGATACGTAAACCGCATATATACCCGATTTCTCTCTGAAATAAAAATTTTGGTATATGTGTAAATATGCTTGGTATTAAAAATACACAGAGTAGCCAAACCTATCCTCCAAATAATATAAGCGTTTCTGATAACAGGTCACAATAGTATTATCTGATGTATTTTTAAACGATTGTTCAACTACCTTTTTCGTTTCAGCTGCCGAAGCTGTTCGCACTGGATATGTACAGAGTGCAGCGAGCACCAAAACTTACGAAGAGATTTCTAGGAAAATTCCAGGATGCTTGCGATGGTGCCACCTTCAATTTTTCAAAGTTTGAAATTTTATTTCATACGTTAAGACCAATTACTGGAGTATATTTATGATTATCTGCTAAGTATAATGCAACCACAAAGACAGGCAGCAGAACAATGGTGACAAAATAAGTACTGTAGGAAGAAGAATTCCTGTAGATGACTTGAGTACTAATCATGCGCACCCAACTGATACTTATCGATGTCAGAGTTCCGTATTACCTTTTTGAGTACTCGGAATCATAGTTGTTGGCAACTAATGTCAAAATAACTATAAAATTATTGCATTATAGGAAGACAAGGAAACAAATAGAGCTCCTGTTGCTGAGCGGCGACAACAATTAAATGTAGACATGATTTGTAAAACAAAACATATATATATATATTTATTATTATTCAAAACTTTATTTCCTTCCTTAAGCACCGTGAAATGGTTGAAAATTTGGTCAATCGAGCTGAGAAATGTGGATTCACAGGATTCGTAGTGACAATTGATCAATCAGTACTTGGAAAAAGGATATACAGAACACCGGACGGAAAACATGCTGACACGACACATCGAAAGTAAATTATGTTAGTGTAATCTTCGCTGGTATAAGTCGATTTGATCTCGGACAACAAGAGAGCAATGATCAAATATATAGGCATGGAGTTCAGATAAATAATGAGGCCACAGCAATGTCAGCAAAATAAACCAAATGCTGAAAGAATTCCACCGAATGTCATGTGAAATCTGTTACCGAATGTCGAACGAAGGTGAACCGTGAATAATAAAAAACAGTAAGATTTGGGGTGAAGTATCGGTCAGTGGCACTCGGAGATTACTTGAAAATAAAATCCATCTACCGGCTTTTAAGATAGATAAGATAATCAGGCAGAGACGAAAGTGGCCGTATGCACCTTCGAGGGACTGGGATTATGCCCAGATTATAACACAATCCGAGCGTTTGTTTACAATAATTAAGATTAATTTTTCTTAGACCTATCAACATGGCTAAATCATGGAAGGCAATCGGGAAGCAGAATTCTCTGACAATGGATGACTGTTTCGATGGTCGTGCACAATGGGACTCCTTGGACTGGCTGAGCAGCATTACAAAGTTACCGGTGGTCGTCAAGGGAATACTAACAGGTTAACCATCATCTTACACTGCGGCAAATGAACTGTTTTTATTGAAAATATTATGTATATACATACTTTTATCGTACAACTGATTATGTAGTATACCTTCAAAGTGGTGGTGGACGTTTTTGTTTTTATGAACATATTATCAATATTCGTCCATCTTCAGAAGAAATGGCCCTTGAAGCAATCAAACACAACGTCTACGGGATAATTGTTTCAAATCACGGGGGAAGACAGATTGACGGTACTTTTTCTACAGTAAGCATGCATTACTTGATAAAGTTTGTCAGTTTGTGTAAAATGATTTTTCTTCGAATATGTCGTTCGGTATGGTTGATATATATATTCGAGTCATAGGATGAATCACCACCAGCCTAGTCGTGTATGAATCAAATACTTTTAAACTCTATTTAAGATTGATTCGCTACCAGAAGTAGTGAAAGCAGTGAATGGTAGATGTGATGTTTACTTGGATGGTGGGATTCGTAAAGGAACAGACGTCGCAAAAGCAATTGCTCTGGGTGCTAAAGCTGTTTTTGTAGGAAGGCCAATACTTTGGGGACTAGCGTGTGATGTATGATATCATATATTTATTGGTTTATAAATTAAGTCCTGGCTGGTATATAACATAAAATTGCCCTAATTGGAAATTTCAAAAATTCACATTTGAGTATAGTGCACAACTTTTCTCAGGTCCGATATTTAGTATATCTCACTTGAGGAAACATAATTATATGGACCGTTTGGCCCCATAGTGGTGCTGCTGACTCTTCCATAGGTTTATACATAATGTCCATGACCTTGCATTAAACCGTATCTACGTGAAACGAATTCAATTATCCAAACAAATTCGGGCACTATCAATTCAGAATAAATTCTTATATGAAAGGTTTTTAAATACCAATGATCAATTCACCGGAAACATCATCAAAGTTTAAAAAAAATCACTTCTCTGAATTACATGTTAAGATCTTTTATTTTATATATTACATACAGGGAAAGACAGGAGCTCAACGAGTGTTAGAAATTTTAAGAGATGAATTTACTTTAACTATGCAACAACTAGGTAAGTAGAATAGGTGGGATATGCTGTATGCTATATGCCGTAAAGAAGTCTTGTGAAATAACAAGGTGTCTCAAAAATGTCATATACCACTTGCCTGTTCCGTATGTAGTGTACCATTTTCCCACATCACATAGAGACAAATGTGGGGCAATTGGAGGCATTTTTAGAACAATAAAATCACGATTAGGCCTAAAAATGGTTAAGGGCTATGTATATCCCAACTCCCTACTATATCAAAACACAGAAGTATAATATAAAATCAGACGTTTTGTAGCAAATATATTACAATGACTGATAATTTCCAATATTCGGAGGGCTGGCGAAAGCAGCATATTGGAACGATAGTATTGGTCCGTGCTAGAAAAATATATATATATTATGTCACATTGTAGCTATAGGAACTAAATATTTTTATTAATAGGTGTAACGTCAATCAAAGAACTACAATCAGCTCCAAATTTAGTCGTTCATGAATCTTTTGTGCTTCGGAAGAGGTAGAATGAAGAGTTTAATATGAAGCAACATAACTTCTGGCATTGAATAATTCCACCGAATTTTATTTCTACCGGATAGGGCTGTTAAAATCCTCTGGTCGTTTGAATCTTAACATAGTATATAACAAAACCGCCTTTCTGAAGATTGCAGTTATTTATAAATTATCGGCCTGCAAGCTGATTGACAAACATCACAATAATTTCCTACATAACGCATTTGATGGTTATTTTATCAAACAAAGTAATATATATACACTCATACAACACAAGATCAGCCTACCCGCACATTATTAACTTTTGTGTTAGTATACTAGTTATTAATTTCTAATACCACCAATGGAGAGTACCGGCACTGGTATTGATTCAAAGATGTTGTATTTTGTGCTGTTCATCTCTAATTATAACTAATTCATGATATTCCGTTACTAATATTTTCAAACTCGCACTAATTCATCACATTTATTTTCTGCTCTATTTGTACTTGACACACTTGACAAGTCAGATATTTCCTTGAATGTACAAGCTTATCTTTTTGATAAAGGGGAAGACTACCGTTGTCAAGTACCACTAGCGATAAAATGTCTTTATTACTTCATTATATATATATATATGTGTGTACAGTGTCAACTTGATTTGCTGTAGGGGAAAGTGGGGAAGGTTGGGACACTTTTTTTCTTTTGCATATTTTGAGCCGTTAATTCTGCATATTCTCTTAAGTTTGCGGGACTAATGCATAGTGGGGTAAATGTAGTTTTTATTCAGCAACAAAGAAATTCTCTTGCGACACACATCTTACTACCAAAATGTTTTGAAAAACGTCTGTCAAGTGTCCCACTGTACCCCACTTGTGGGGCACAATCGGACAGACCCTGGGGCACAATGGGTCAGTCTGTCAAAATTCAACGAAGTATGCCCTTAAAAATAAGCAACTAATCAGCATAATCGTCTAAAGTACGGGGAGACTTCGAATTTAAAGATTTAATATTTTTAAAATCAATGTTCAACTGAAATAGTTCAGATATTTTGACAAAACATTTTGCAAAAAAATTTGATTATTTCCTTCCTCGAATCTACTAAATCTGGAAATATTATTGATTCTCGAATATATTCCATATTGGGCCATGGGTCGAAAGAAACCATTATATTACACAAAATATAACGCATTCCTAAGTCTCTAAGCACTTATTGTATCAAACACTGTCGAATTGTGCCCTGTAGAGCATGTCCCACTGAACCCCGGTCCATTGTTCCCCATAGGAAACAAATACTTTCAGACCATCCCACGGCAAAATTCGGAAGGCACAGCCAATCGCTAACGTTAGGAATATTTTACAGTGTACTGACGCTAAAGAATATCAGACGATGGTTTGTCTCGTTGGAAAGGCTAAACTAAGAAAAAGAAAAAACTGGAACGGTGGAATTTTTTTTTCAACCTTCCAAAACCAATTTCACCCCATAGCTTGCGCCGCTCTACCCGTCCGTTGTCCGTTCGCGGGGACGTTGTAACTCACCGAAGGGCGGATTGGAACATAGAGCCGCGGACAGGATTGCGGATATAGTATCAGTGTGATAGCTGATTTTCCACTGCGCCCCATGTCCCAACGTACCCCACCTTCCCCTACCTGAGGGCTGGGAGTGGTTTTCTTTATCGCTACACATCCTTGCCACTTCACATTGTAACCACGTGGGTGATTCACCTTCAAATGTCTCCAAACTATTTTTCAGGACAGAAGCCCTTCCACTTCGCCCCGTCTGTGGTCTGATGACTCTAAAATAGAATTTCTATCTTTAGTTAGATATTTTAGTTATATAATTCGGCAAAACCCTACTCACCGACAATAACAGTAGTTCCAAAAACACAACACATTTTTGAACAGAGGTGGGCGCGGTTTTTGGACTGGGCCAGAAATTTCGCCCATCTAGACCAGAGGTCACCGAACTTTTTTGGCCGCGGGCCATGTATGACTCAAACTGTGCTTAAACGGGCCGGGCAAATATTTTTGTCAGCAACAGTTTCGCCGAAAGCACGCGCCACGAGTGCATCCTTCGTAGAAAACGTTGCGTACCGGTGGAGAATTTTTTTAACAGCTATTTCTAGAAAATTTTATGTTCCCGCAATTAAACTACAACTCCGAAGAAGTCCAAATGATGATTGACTTATTTGATTCATATAATACTCAAATTTTGGAATCACGACCAAAAACTAACGAATGAACCCTTGACCCCCGAAAAAATTCTTCTTATACTTTACCATTGCAAAATTTCCAGGGCTTATTTTAAGAGTGATTTCGTGAGTTGGCGCTTGTAAAATGGGGTACGTGTTTCAAACCATCATTATGATTCATCGCATACACATTCTGTTTTTTAAAAGTACCGGTAAAGAATTTTAGCCCAGTCTATTACAGCTATATCTACACTAATTTTTTATTACTGCAATTAAATTAAAACTCCTAAGAAGGTAGAGAGATCATTGAATTATCTGATTTATATTTAAATTTCCGAAACACAACTGAAAACTAACGAATGGTTCGAAAACGAGGTAATGTTCACGACCGCGCTTGAAAATCTGTCTGAGTGAGAAAAGTGTCTGAGCGGATGCGAAAAAGGAGCATTGTTACGTCACTTTTGCATCTTGCTGATTGGCCAATGTCACGAAGTAAAGAAGAAAGTCGAAGCTCGGGGAAAGGTCCATAGCATTCAAAATCGCGAAAACGAGTTATTGTTTGGAACCACGGCTGAAAATCCGTCCGAGTGACAAAAGTGTCTGAGCGTATGCGAAAGGGTCTATTGCTACGTCACTTGCATCTTGCTGATTGGCCAATGTTACGAAATGAACAAGGAAGTCGATGCTCAGGGGGAAATCCCTTGAAAAAAAATCGCCATTTTTTCGTGTTATTGCGGGCCAGATGAAAGGACGCCGAGGGCCGTAGTTTGGTGATCCCAGATCTAAGTTAGGGTTGCCATACGCCAGATTTTTCCCTGACATGTCCGGAATTTTAGTGGTCAAATTTGCGTCAGGGAGAAATATTAAAAAGTGCCCAAATGTCAGGGATTTCCAATACAGAGAATTCCTGCTACAAATCCTCGAGTTTTTATATATTGCGCATCCACGAAGTCCTATTTTTACAGATATATGTCACATGCAAGCTTTTTTGTGCAACACGGACTGCATCGCATTCAGAAAACTATGTCACATATGACCTGAATTGTCAGCATTTTGTACTCGTAATTTGGTTGCACTACCTGTCACTTACTTTATTCCGTGCTAACGTTTAGTCACTATTGCTGAAGATTAGGCAATAATTTTGCTGCTTTATTTATTCTATTCCCAAAAAAAAAGTGACGACAGCTTGTGTCTTTGGATACATCGTGAATTTCTACCACAATATAGGTGTTTTGGTTGTAAAATTGGTCAATGTGGCTCATTAAAATTCTGTCAGGGATTTTGTCTTTCCAGATATGTTAACCCCTAATGTGTGACGTAAAAGTTAATTTTAGGAACAAAAGCAAAAAAATATTTACAGTGCTACAAAAGCAAAAAACAATAATCCGTGCCAAAACTAAATTTAATCGCAATTTCAATAAATTCCCTGAGTTATTTTTTAGGTAGAACAGCAAATTTGATATTGGTTTGTTTGTGGCAGCATTCGGTGGGTCAGATTGAATTACCCAATGGGCAGGATTTGGCCCGCGGGTCGTAGTTTGCCCATACCAGTTTTTGAAGGTTACAAATAGTTTCATCGCCAATAGAAACGAATAATTCACGATTTTTTCATAATATTTCTGTCACTTTTATTAATTAAAAAAAAAAAATTAATAGCACAATTGAAGGGCACCATACTGCATATGAGTAATTGAAACAATGTATAAATCATCAGCATAGCACGCTATCATAGTGAAGATTGTAAAAATATACTGTAATATCAGAATTAATGAGTACAAAGAAAAATTGCATAATCATAATTATAATCAATATCGATCAGCTGAGATGGAAATGATGTATTTCAATGAAATGATAATATTGCAATCTAGGTACACTTTTTTGATTTCTATTCCATTTTATTTGGCAATAAATCTGCTTACAATTTGAATGAATCATGCCTTTTTGACAACAAAATTATCAAATTGTGCATAAGCAAACGACTGAACGCCGAAAGCAGCCCAGCCATTTTTAGGTATATCAGGTAAATCAGACAGAGATTTCTTGAAAATTTGTAAAGAATTCAAGTATCCGTAAACGACAGTGTCGGTAATGGCAACCGAGATTGTGTTCCATCCAGATTGATTCATTTTTAGGCCTATTCCTTGCCAACATCCCCAGTCAGAGTAGCATCGACCTAAATACTAGAAACAAAGCAAGGAGAATACATTATTCAAAGTGCATAACTAAGCAAATATCCAGTCAAAAGACTTTTGTTTGGAATTGCGTTTCCATTCCTTTGTATGTTGAATTTACATGGAAATAATTGTATGAATTTATATAGGGCATTGCTAGACTCCTAGCAGCTAAAGGGTGGTTCACATAGGCAATAGTCAGATATGGGTTTCTCAATTAATCAAGTCCATGTCTATCTATTTCCAGATCCAATGCGACTACCGAGCCATGATATCCCATATGCATAATAGCTTACTCTATTAGCTAATATTTATTATATTATACATAACCTCACAAGAACTTAATTTACTTAAAAAATATTTTTAATTAGTGATAACTTGATTGGTGCATTCACACTCTCAACATAAAGAGTTTAAATCAAGCTCAATTGAAATGCATTCAATTCAATGCTTGTTGGACTCAACTTCAATATCAAAGTTTTGCTTAGGTGCAAACAAAACTTACCTTATTTCTTTCTAATGTTGTTGTTAATGTCCATGATTGATCTTTGTGTAGCCATAAGAATACTCCCTTTGCATTGCGAACATCACAACCTCCAGCATCAACTCTGGCAGCTACAAACACACCGGATGAATCTTCCAACTTGACATCGACAGTGACATTCATATGTGTCCAGGAATGATTTCCAATCAGTGTAATGGGTGAATCTGAATCATCACACCATGTTAAAGGTCTTTGTGGAACAACCTGAATAAAATATGTATATTTTAATTTTTTACAGAAGTCATATATTGAATATCTATCAATAAATAAAACACTTGAAGCAATCTCACACAACCCTGTCTTAAATTGTTAGTAAATTACATAAAGTTGATATTTATTGAACACAATAAGCTATCATTAGATCATTCTATTCAACCATTCACCAAAGTAAAGTGAAAGACCCGGACACACATTTTCATACAGGCAAAGCCAAATATAATCTTCAATGTTTGTCATATCCTGTTGTCATTTGACATACCTGCTTTCCTGGGAGCACGCAATACCTCAATCAATACTTAAAATACCATCGTACTGCATAATGTGGCTATTGCCTTTTCTTTTTTGCAACTAGATTTTTAGTACTATTACGTGACATCCTGTATATTGCAAAAAAATAATTCTCTTACTGCACCTGTCTCATTGTCCACTGGTGCCCATCTGTATTTGTCTTGTTTTCATAAATTTCAAAAGTACCAGACTGATCAGCAAAATTATGTGCTTCTGTGTATTGTGTCATGTTGTCAAAATTATCTTCATATGGAAATGGAAAGGGTGATGAAGCAGGCACTCCATCATAAAAACCTTTGTTACCTGAAAATACACAGTGAATTGATGTAATCATTAGTCTAGTGCTGAATAATGTTGGTCTAAGCAAGAAACCCTGCCTAATTACTATTTTGTCGGTGGTCGTTGTTGTTGTCCTGTTATTAAACACCAAGTGGACTGTTTTAATAAACTTGTGTTGTTCAGAGTGCTTATGTGGGTTAAGATATCAATTTTATATGGCTTGATCATTTAGGAATCGACCTATCTTTTAGGAGACATTTTCCAGCCACAAAGTGGACCTATGGATTGGATCATTTTGTTGAATTGTTGTTATTATTGCGAACATTGCCCTTCTCTGACTACTAAACCAGTTGCTTTCCAATTTTCAAAAGCTATAGGTAAGATAAGCTATATTGGTCCACAAAATAAAATGGTTGAAATTTTTACAGAAAGCTCCTACTTTTTTATTTTGTCTGTGTTGAGTTGTTTCAACCTCAACTGAATAAATCATGTCACAGCATGATTGATATTGGAGAATGGAGATCATGTGATGAACAAACACTGTTTGCATACATGACTATATTCAACCAGTAATGAAATCTCTTACTTTGTCCCTATACTTGGCAATGGAGTATTATATCAAAGTTCCCCTCAATCCCCTGTACTATTTTTGCTTGTTTGAGCGAGTGGGACCAACGCCCCCTTGGCGCCCTACTAATTGAGTATTGCTTTCTTGTTCCAATGAAAATAATAAAAGATGCGAGACTACAATTTCAAGCTTTACTCAGGGACTACTTACTGAGGGAATAGAGCAAAATTAAAAAAACGCTAAAACTCACCTGTTGATACAGTTGTCAGGGTCACCACTTTATCAGGTTCCATCATTATTGTAAATTTGTTGTCAGAAACTGTCACTGTTGAATGCTTGAATATTTGATCATCAGTGGAATCTTTTCCAATTTCTGAAGTCCATATATTCAAACTTTTGACAGATGACGCGAAAGATCCATCCAATTCAAAAGTAACACTCTGTGCTTCTACAGTATATCCTGGTAATGGGGGTCTAATACATTTAGAATGATCATGCGACATAGTTTCTACTACAATTGTCAATTCTTTGCCATTGCTCAATGCCACATAACTGCCTCCTTTCTCCAAATGCCCTACAGTTTTTAAATACATCCAGCCAGGTCGTGAAAATTGGGTTGTGTGTGCAGTTATCCATACAACACTGGGAACTTCATAATGCCCACTCCATGGTTCAACTGCCGTCATCAAAGAACATCTTTTAAAGGGAAGATTGTCATAATAACTTGCGATTAAGTTCCAAGAAATCGTAGCAGTCATGTTGCCATTCACATAATTCTGGTTTAAAATACGAGCCCAACAACCTGCACCTGTAAGAGTGTGGGATTCAAGCTGCTTATTTCGCCAGAAGACGATAACAACAATACAAAATATGGAGAAAAATAAAGAAATTACAAAGAAAGAAAGCCATCTTCAAAGCATTGATTTTGTTAAATATGTTTTTTTATACAATGTTTATTTTCTTTTGATTAATTTATCTATTTGCTTCAAACAAGGCCCTGTACAAGCGGCCACTAATATCTATGGATATATGAGGTGATAATAATATTTGGTAGGGCCTGTGTCATTCCAGTTTGGCAATAGCCAACATAAATTTTTCCATGATATAATAACTTAAATCATATATATAATTCCGCAACAGTACAGCACAATAAAACACTTGAATTCAAATCAATATCATATAACAAGCATATTCATTCAATGATTACATAAAATATCATGAGGGTGTTTACTGTTTACATACCAATATAATCATTATATGTGCTGTAATCTTCACTGGCCCACAATTTCTTTTGAGTCTGAATCGCTTTTGATGTTGATATTGTACCAGGATAATGTGTCCCAATTATTTCAACTGCATTACTTAATTCAGAATCATTCAAGATCGCCTGAGCAATTGTTGAACTAAGTGATTCATCAGCAGCTATAATTGCTACATTGGATAGACTATGACCGTCAAGCATTTTCCTGAGAAGCTGCAATAAGATAATCATTTTAGTTGTTCAATGAAACTTGTTTTTGAAGCAATAAAAAAATTGGCCAACTGAAACCATAATGTGTGTGGTTTATACAAAAAACAAATATACGAGAGATAAATTACAAGTTGCAATTCATGGTACAATCAAAAACTTTGTAAAAGATGACAACACTGCTGACTAATTTTGCATCAAAATAATTCTCATATTACAGGCACAAATCTGTGCCATCAATCACAATTTCACAATTATGGGATTTTCCAGCCTGGGAAGACATTAAAATTCAAATCATATCAGATTATATGCAAACACATAAAAACTATTTTAGAAATATTAAAACTTTCTTTTTCATATGCATTATTTTATTCAAACTTTTTTCAATTAGGACTGATTTTGATTTGCAGTTCTTATGCTTGTAGTCCGGCAGATAAGGGGACCTTTTTGGCCCAAGTTTGATTTCAGACATAAAGTTTTTTTTATTTGTGATTATTCATCTTGGGGTCATTGCCCATCATTTCTACATGGGTGTGGAGTTTGCAGCCTTGAGCAATTTTTTTTACGGCTCGATATTTGTATTAGTGTGTTTCGTCAAACCTGTGCATCACGATGACGCACAACCTGAATCATAACCTGTTACAATACTATGTTCAGGTTGTGCGCAATCTTGGTGCACAAACTACGCAAGCACCAAATTTACTAGGAAATAAAATCAATAACTTTTAGGTATTTATTGAGATATTTGTATTAGAGTTTTTCGTCAAACATGTGCATCATAATGACGCACAACCTGAACCATAACCTGTTACAATACTATGTTCAGGTTGTGCGCAATCTTGGTGCACAAACTACGCAAGCATCAAATTTACTAGAAAATAAAATCATCAACATCATAGGTATTTGTTGAGCCCAGCTTTGGGTCGCGACCCATATACAGTATATGGAAATACTGTCGAAACATACGCGTAAAATAAAGAGTACTATTTCAAAATACCCGTTTTTGTTGCAATTAACAATACAAGTCTGCTAATGCAGTCGCCAGTGGTTCAAGTGGATATACACCCGGTGGAGAACAGTCAATTATTTGTTAGCGAGAATTGTTATGCAGCGGGATGATCACGACGACGCAGAGAAAGATAATGATATCACGAGAACAAGAATGAGAAAAATGCTACATTTTATGGTATATCCCTGAGAAAGAATGTACCGTATTTATTCGATTATAACGCGCAAAATTTTGAACTGAATTTTAGGCAAAAATCAATGCTGCGCGGTATACACGAGGTCTGAGGAATGCGGTATTGAAAATGTGGTTTTAAACATCTGAAACGTGCGTGCGCTCGCGCATGCACATTCCAATGCAGGACGATTTCGTGCAAGCACACGCACATGCGACAGCTCAGCGTGCGTTTGGCATTCGTGCAAGCGTTCGATTTCGTGCAAGCACACGCACTTGCGACAGCTCAGCATGCGTTTGACATTCCCGCTGCGTTGAGAATATTTGTTTGCCATTATCGTACTGTACTGTAGATACCCATTATATATTACCCATTATGTATTATGGCAAGACAAAAACGTTCTGCATATAGGGCTGCATTCAAACTGGAGGTTGTTGATTATGCGGAAACTCATGGAAATAGAAAAGCTTCTAGAGAATTCAATGTACCAGAGACAAATGTCAGAGATTGGAGAAAAAGCAGAAAGTTGTTCTAAAAGATATGAACAAAACAAAGAAAGCGCGGCGAGGGGACAAGCCCGGTACCCAGAGTTGGAGAAGGAGCTTTATGATTGGATAGTTGATCAAAGATCCAGTGGGTACATCGTCACTTCGCTCCATATTAGACTCCGTGCACAAAAGATTTGCAAAGATTCAACCTTTAAAGCATCTAATGGTTGGGCACAAAAGTTTATGAGAAGGCATGGACTTGCACTACGCCAGAATGGGACACTGATTTAAACATAACCCAAACAGAAATCGAACAGTTGTTTGGTGAATCAGAGACTGAATCCGATTTTGAAGAGTTTTGAATTACTGTGTGCTTTTAATAAATTTTTGTTCATGCTGTGAGTTGTTACCTTATGTGCTTACCAGTAGTTAGTAGAGAAAAAATAAAAAAAAGAATTTTATACCAATTTTCATTCAAAATTTAAAGGTGCGCGCTATACACGAGTGCGCGTTATAATTGAATAAATACGGTAGTTCATTCTTATGTTCCATGCCAATGCTTTTCAAACTACCAAAGACTCTCAACACTTTTGCTTCTTCTCTTCTATAAAAATTCATTGTTATTATATATTCGCATTTCCATCTGTTTGTTCGTGCTCCCAGATAGCCGATCAGCGGCCTCCAAGGAGGACGGGGTCCCCTTTTAATAAACCATGTCATAAACTAAAAGAGGCTTGCCTGTTGTCATGCTGTCCCTGGAATTCAGCTACAACAAAAATTTCACGAAAACGGATTTTTAAATTTTATGATTTTATTAATATTCTCAACAATGAATGATATACGGGTGGTATAATGCCAAGTTATTCCAACAACATGATCATGTTTTGCAATTTACAACCAATATTTTGTATGGAACTTTGTTTGACAGAGCCCCAAGAGCTCTAACTACACATATCAAAAATGTGAGGCCAAAATAGTCACACTACAACATTGTCAAATGTGCTGTATTTACGATAGATAACAGGTTTACCAAAAAGAATTACATGAAAAATGGTAAAATAAAGATCAATTCAGTAATATCCACTTGGTGATATGCATATGTTGATGATTTTATGTGTTTATTTCGGAAGTTTAATAACAGAATTAATCGTGGTTGCTGGGGATGTTTTAAAAAAGGTTGCATGGAGAAACGTTTTCACAAAATGTCAAGGTTTGATGGTAGTAGAGAAGTAGGAAAATTACCCAAATGTTTTTTTTTTCATTTGATAACCCCGCCACAGAACTTCCCCCCGATAAGTATACGCAGCAATTGCGAGAGGCAGAAATGCCAAGATGGGATTTCATCGCATTGCAAACCAATATTAGCAATTCTTATATATATTCGCGCATTCCCATCTGAACAGCGTGGAAAAGATTATACCCATCTACACACTTTAAGAACTATGTCAGATGAGCGTCATATTATCGAATATCAGTAGAGGAATAGTGCAATGGGATAAGACATATAAGGCGGAACTTTCAATAGTATGCAATCAAATAATCTTATTGTATAATATATATTTAAAAACATTTCGTCACGCCAGCTGCAGTCCGAAACTTTTTGTCTCTGGCTGAGCTTAGATACCAATTGGCACTCATGTAAACTGGTAAGACTGTAAGAGGCACGCGATGGAGCAGATACAAAGAGTATACATCCCCCAGCTGTCATTTGAGTGGGTACTGCTGTTTTTATTGCAGATGTCACTGATCTTTCTGTATTAAAGATTTACTGGCATCACCGATTTAAGGATGTTGGAAACCAACACGCAATATTACAAAACTTACTTTCAACACGCGGTTTGAATGAATGAAAAAGCTGAAACTAGTATTCTTTAGAACAGCATACAAATTCTATGGAATGAAATCATACACAAAAGCTCGTTAAAAACCTATAGCTCAATAATCAAGTGGAATTTGATGCATGTGCGCAAAAATGTGCGCGTTACTACGTACAACCGAAGCACGCAGGAAAATGTGTGTGATGTACTAGTATTCAAAACGTTTGACTCAACTATGTTGGCATAACAGGTGCACATCTCGGTTTCGCATACGCATACCTTCTATCTCCACAAGGATATATTAATTTTGCCAAAGTCAATGCAGCACTGAAAGGTTGCGGTTCTTCCAAAAGAAAACACGTTACACATCTTTAGTTACCAGTGGATGATTTTACATGGCCTTGTTCGGAGTGAAAGACGAGGTCAAATATTCCAATCCAATTCAACTAATAAAATATTTCCCAAGTCCCGAAGCTTAAACTAGGAAAACGAAATGCGCGCGGCAACGCAAATGTAGTTTGAAGAGCGCAATAGAAAGTGGCTAGATGCTGTCGATGGATCTTGGCTTGTATTGGTGAAATAAACTACCATTTATTCTACTAAAATTGAATTTCTGACATTGTAAGAAGATTCAATGTTACTATGTATGCAAAAATAAACCATGTAGTTATGAAATAATTGTTTTTAACAAAAAGGCGCTCCTGAAGTATTCGTACCAAGATGGCGCACAACCTGAACATTGTATGTTTACCAGGTTAGGGTTCAGGATGTGCGTCTTCTTGAACCGAATACTTCGAATCCACTTAAAAAAAATTGCTCAACATTATATACTCCACACCCACCTGGGTACCGTATCATTATATATGTCCTATACATTATATCTAAACAATAAAAAAAACTTTATGTCCCAAAACAATGTTAAGGCCCGATTCTGCCGGACTATTGGTACATATTTAGCATTCAAAAATTCCGCCTTCAAAAAATAATTTTTAAATCATTTATTACCTTTATATATCCTGCATCATAAGGTCTTTCATTCCAGATTCCAATATAATCAATCGACAGACCATGTTCAGATTTGGCCCCAAGAATCCATGATATTATATATCCCACTGCTTTTGTGTTATTTGTGAATGGCCAAGCAGTTCCCTGACCTACCCATCCAGGCCATGCCCACGGCAATCCCACTAATTTGATGTCAGGATTTCTTTGTTTTGCTTCTTTCATCAGCCACCATTCATACCTATAATACACCAGTAGATATACAGAATACCATAATGTGTACTAACAAAATACGATAGTTTGTCACAAAATTCAACAATGATTGCAGTCCGTCAAATCAGATTGATTCCCTCACCAAGAGTGTTTGAAATTGGTTAGCCTGTACGCTCAAATATTGTACTTTTTCCAAAACATAGCAGGCTGTGAATGCTCGGAAAAAGCCATATTTAGGGATAAAGTGTGAGACTTTTAATAAAATAATATGGAAAAAAATATTATTGTCAGTTAGATTGGCAGAGAGTTGAAGACTTAGATAGATTCGGAAAAGCCTGTTACCAGCTAAGTAGAAAACTTTTGAGTTTAAAGAAAAATAATGATATACATACACAAAAAACAAAAAAATTACATACGCATCCACACCACTGTGCAAGTCATTTGTGCAAAGTCATTTGATACCATTTATAAATTTTAATAACACTTGATAAAATTTCACTGCATGCATGAGAATGGAATGCACATAATGACTAACTTGCTATTTGACTATCAGTGTTTGATAACAAACATCATGAATAAAAGATTACAATTTCATTGCATATATTAAAATTCCATTTTAACTAGGGATGTCACATATTAGGAATTTAGAACTACATGTGTTTTTATTATTATTAAACATGATAAAATAACTACTGGAAACAATCACAAACCATACTTTTCTATTGAAAAGCATGTGGCCATGAGTATTGAGATACTTTGAAAGTGGGCATCGAATCATTGAATGTTAGAGATCCATTGAACTATACCCACTGTCTAACTGGGGCATCATAAATCAGGTAGAAAACACTGGACAAAATACAATCACTATTCTAAACCCTGTACATATGTATATGTGTTACATATGTTATGTATATGTTTTACATATAGTCTTCAATAAGAGCATAGCAACTTATATCATTTTATGTCAATTCACTAACATCTCTTCATCAACATCAACTACAACTAAGGCAATAAGAATTTTTTGATAGTGAAAAGTTTAAAATTCTGGTATACATACCCTCGATTAAAATTTGGTGTTTCATCCTCTGTATGCATGTGAGATGACTCCGATCCATCAGTTGATTGAGCATCACCACCTATTTCAACTTTCAGTATATGTAATGATGCTCCAAAGTTAGGCTTGAACAGGTAATCTAAAATCTGGTTCCTGTATTTTTCTGGATAATTTACTAGGAGTCTAGAAGTTGCACCTCCACCAGAGAGTCCACCAATTCCATCAAATATACGACCATAACCATCAGTGTCACTTATTTTGTATGTAGTTTCTTGATCTTTTACATCACTGCTAGCTGATTTTACCATATGCAGAACAGGTTCATCAAAATGTGACCCATATCGTAAGCTAGCGCAGATTGTAATAACCGAGAGCAAAGTAGTAACTTGAAATTTCCACATGCTGATGATTATTACACTCAATGTTTATGTAGTATAGAAAACAACAATCACATGCATTAAATACCAATATTTAACCGATCTGAAATGACAAATAGTGCAACTATTTATAAAGAAAAAAAGTCAGCAAATAAGAATGGCATCTACAATATTTATAATTATGACAATGTTGACACATAAATATGATAGGGTATCAATGATTAAAAATTGGTTACTTATATGCAACTGGGTTTAGAAGTAACAAATTTTCCTAGTTTGACCGCCATTTTAATACTCGCCAAGTAAATTGGTGAGTATTGAACAATACCCGAGCAGAAGGTAAACCTGAGATCTAAATTGGAATGTCTGCATAAATATTCAACTTCAATTGAAGTCCTCAATGTATGATAATTATCCAATTAAATTGGTATCAAACTATCACACATTAATTTATTTCAATTTTGCCAAGGCATTTTTGTGCACGATGACCTCATAGAGCGGGTCAAACATTTCACAGTTTTTAGTCACAGTTGGGTCAATCTCATATTATTGTAATTGGAAAAAAGGATTTAACCTCATGTCATAAAAGAAAGTTTTCTAAAAAAAGAGAAGAGTGTAATCTGCATAATCACAACAAAAGACAATATAGAAGAAGATGTATTAGATAATTAGAAGATATTTTCTCTGCCAAAGCATTTCTGTTTAAATGAAGGAATAACATGATGGCATAAACATTGCTAAACTTGATGCAGATGACCACATTTAATCACTACACAAATACGAAGCATATTGCTAGATAACATTTACATAATAAACTTCAATGATAGTTTGAAAATCAAGGATAAACACTGACATTTATAACACAGAAGTCACTTGACATATAAGACATATACAAAAACAACATTTTTACAAATGACTGTATGAATAATATATTTCACCGCTTAAGTTATACATATATTTTAATATCTGAATTATAGTAATGAGAGACACAGTTGAAGAATACTACATGTACGGCAAGTACTTTGAAATGTAAAAACATTGAACTTGGTCAATCGTGTGTCAAATAATGAGGGAGAGAATAAAAGTGAAAATTTTTCTAACCCTGATCTTGCTGACCTTAATGAACAGTAGACACCGGACTGACATTTTCAGCGAAGAGATATTTCATATATGAACAGTAAATGGTAGCATACATTTGTAAAGAATTACCAGCATATATCTGCTAAATGCACAGTTGCGAATGTCATACACATGATAAAACGACCAAGGCACAAAATATTAAAGACCTATTATACTCACAAAATGTATTATTCATATTTGACTGTTAAATAAATAAGCCGTGATTTTATAACAGAAAACAAACATCTTTTTGAAAAATAAAAACCAAAAAGTAGCCATGGAATGGTACTGTAATCACAAAAATACTATAATGTACAAAATTCTCCTATAATACAAAACTCGAAAAGAATCAGTATTAACAACCATAGAAACCAAGAATGTACAAGGGAATGTTGAAGCTGGTCATCAGTAAAGCAATCACATCCTAATTTTCTCATCCGCAAACAGTGGTGCACTGATCGCCAGGTGTAAAAAGATAATATATATTGACAAGCGGAAACATGATCAATGCACCAATTAATGACCCAAGTTGCGTGAATGCACCATACCAGACCAATGATTTTGGATGTCCTCTTTCCCGTAATATTTGACCTATTGATACTTTTGCATAAGATGTTGTAAACACAAACATGATTTGAGATATAACCTGAAATAGGAATATATGAATATGTCTGAATCACAAAACAGCCTATGTCATTTTTCTATTAGATTAGCGATCACTAGACACTATCATATTAATATCTTAAGAATCTATCAGTAAAATCAAGAATAACCACCCAGTCTGATGTTTATAAAATCATGTAAGAGGGGAAGAGGTAAGAAAAGTTCAACGAAACGAAACCACCTAGAAATTTCAGTCAATATCAGTGATATCACAACCGACATATATTATTGAAATTTGTAAGGGACAAATTCATCAATATATAAGAAACACTTTTTCAAACTGAAATTTACAGAAACAAAAAATTTTAAATAATTATATCTCACCATAAGTATCGCACCACCATCGGTATCAACAAGTATTGGACATGGACTTTCAACTGCCAACAACATGAGATATGACGCAAAACCTGAAATAAACCTTCAATTAACTCAAATTTTTAATTTAATTCAACCAAGAGAAAAATATGTTTCAGAACATTAAGGGAAGAATATGAGAGTTCTTCTGATTACGCAGTAAAACGGAGTTCTTCCTAATCACTTAGCATATGGTTATTGGTTATGTGAAATATATAATTATTAAGCAAATGTGAGTTCTAAATAAATTGGACAAGAATCAGTATCCATAAATAAAATAGAATCATTGGAAATACAGTGACTTTTTTATAGATTCAATTTTTATAGATCTTCAAGTAACGCCACCATGCTTCCAAATTATAAATCATATTAACACAATACACAATAAATCAATTACTAACTTTTTAATAAAAAATCGCAGCTTAAACAGCAGAACAATAAACCCACTGACCTGTTGTAATAGTGACAAAAACAGCAATGATTAACTCTGAAGTTACCGGCAGAAATAACGCAATGAAACAGGCAACTGGATTTGCCATTGCCCCAAGTGTGGCAGCAAAATGATATGGCAATTGACCATAAGGCAAAGATGAATATGATATAACAGAAGGCATAACACCATTTGAGATTCCACTGATCCATAGAACCATCAAATAAAAATAAGCGTATTGTTGGTACGACAATTTTCTTTTTGATGATGGTAATGTTTGACTTGTAATATCATCTAGTGTCTGCTCTTTCCCTCTAGTATAAAATTCTGTTCCATTATCTGGATCTAAAGTTGATAATTCAGTTGAAGTTGACTTGTGTACATCAGTCTCACCATGATCATGTGAGTCTTGATCTTCTACTTGCATAAAAGATTTTGCAATTCTCAGATGATTCAGCATAATGAAAGCAGCAGAGCAGCATATCATCATGACACAAAGAAACCCAAAAAACACTTCCGCTGAGAAGCGAGGATCATAATAATGTGTAACAATATGGTAGGTCGTCTCATTTGTAGTCGTATTCACAAATGATTCATTCTTGCAGTACGCCTCAGATGCTCCTTGTATGAGAGCAAAAATACTTGGTACAAAACCACTTAATCCTTCACCAATAAAGTACGTTGTAAGAAAAACGGACTGGAATCGTGTCATGAATGGCATAAAAGTAACTGACGATGTGCAATCAACAAAAGCCAGTACTAGAAACAAAGCAAAAAAAGCTATGCTATGTTCGTTCCCTGCCACAACTGTGGTGATGTCCCATACAAATATAAGCAGGAAGCATGACAATGTTCCAAGTACAAGCATGATGTAAATAAGAGCATTCTGATGGTAATGTCTTGGTGCAAATGCCTGAAATGAAAAATTGGATAAAATAAAAGTAGATAAAGTAATTTGAATTTCAATATATTTTACTATATAGGTCATCATAAATATCCTATGATCTACTATGGAGTGTACATAAAAGCGATAAAGTTTGATTTCAAATGAAACTCTTTCTCTATCAGTTCATTTACAAAATTTAGTCTTACAAATGTCACAATACAAAATTACCTGCATTAGAGCAACAACCAATGGTCCAACATTTGCAGCTTGGGTCAATAAAACCATAAATGATGGAAGACTCCAGCCTTCAGGAAGCTTATCAACAAGGATTGGTAATTCAACAAACACTCCATTTATTGCAACCCATGCTCCAATTCCAAAAAGTATTACAATGGTGTGCATAACTACACGATGCACAGTTGTTTGGGGTATGAGAGCCATTGTCGTTGCTCAAAAGTTACAACACAGCAAGATGAAAAGTTGAATTTGTATAACACACTCTTCTGCTCAAGAACATATGCTCTCTTAAAAACTAGCCTATATGATTTAATAGACTATACAAAACTGATGGTAGTAAAGTAATCACAGTTTTGAGAATGAAGTTTCAGAAAAAAGCATTCATGCAAGTGGAATACCAGAATACAGGAATACCGGTACGGTACCGTACCGGAAGCATCTGTACAGGAACAGGGATACCGGTACCGGTACTACAAACTGACAGTGACAAACAAGACTTTTTACTGAATACCGGTATAAACTAATCAAATAATTCTATTCAAGCTCGGCGGTGTGGCATCGTGCTAAAATGCATATACACATAGCCTCTATCAACGGTGCACAACCTGCGGCCGTCCACATACAAAATCCTATGAAAAAAAGGTTCAAAATATAGGATTTGGCGGCTATGCTGGCGTAGACTATATTGAAGCAAAACAGAAGCACTGCAAAAAAGTCAGACGACACGATGCGTCACAATCTAGATGGTGATTTTGCTGCCAGTTACCTGACTTTGCAAGTTTATCTGCCCACATGCAAGACCAAAGAAGTCATTAAATTGCTACAATTCTTTGCAAACTTTTATAGAATAAATTCATAAAAATATTTGACATTTTATTATATTTTGGGGACAAGAAAATGGGGGCGACCGCCCCTCCCCGACTTTCGATTTTTTTCAAAATTGTGCAACCATTATGCAACTTGAAGAATATATCTGCTCTAGAATAGGTCCACGGAAAAAAAAATCCTTTTAAAATGCGAATATTATACTTCCAAGTAGTCCTACATACTTCATAATTGGGCAGAGTGCACCTCGCACGGGTCAAACACGTGGTTATGACGTCATAAAGCCAAAAAAATTTGCGAGCCTTCGGCGCGCTATTAACCTCCTGGCGGCCGTCTTGTATAAAAATATATGCAATGTGGCCGCCAATAGCAAAAAGGTTGTGCACCCCTGGCCTATATGCTAAAAGAAAGAAATATGGGTCCTAGTTCACTTCCCAACGTAGCCCGGATTTCTTATTCTAATTTCAGATTCTAATGCGATGTCCCATGGGACGAGTTATTTATGATATAGGGACGCTCGTTAATCTTAATTAACTCTCTTGGGATCGGCCCTTCGCATATCAACACGTTTGGATTTTTTTTTTTTTAAATTAAATATATTAGACATGTTCATTTTTATACATACTAAATTTATACACACTTGATGTATAGTTCAAATACAATTCCTTAGTATTTCAAATTCTCTGACAAAATTTGGTGATTTTCTATTTTTTTGAATGTTGAGTCTGTAAGTGATTGCAGTTTTTATTTGTTTGATAACTAGGTGCTGATTAGGGGGACTACCTTCGAATATAACAGAATTTCTTTGTATCCATATTTTATACCTAGTGATTGGAATTAAATAAACGATAATATCTAAATCTCGTCTTGTAATGTTGGAATGTAACAAATAGCTTAAATCCAATAAAACACAAGATTCATAATCTTTCAAAAGTCTGGCATTATTCAATTTCCTAACAGTATTTTCCATAAAATCAAAAACATAATCAAAATATTCACAACTCATAAATAGATGGCTAACAAATTCTGGTTCTTTTCCACATAACACACACATATCATTTCCTGCAATATTTCTTATTCCAGGTTTCGTTTTTACTCGTAAAATATCCCACATTAACTTGAAATTAAAGGTTTTCATATAGTTTGCCAGAATATTATTATGAATATTCTCACATGCAATATTTAAATTACAATTGCGTAGAAAAATTAATCTATCCCCAGTCATAGGAATAACAATTTTTTTATAAATAGTTTTATGCATACCTTCTTTTATATCTGTAGCCTACTACTTATGTTATGTTTTCTCAAAAATTCTAATATTAATCTATACTCACTTTGAGGACAAAATCCATGTAAACATGTTATTTTAGTTATAATCCCCCAAAATGTACTAAGTTGTTGTCCAATATTGTATTCAACAAAGGACATACAAATATGATTGTAATCCTCATTATAATCACATTCTCTAGCTTTATAATAATCCAAGACACTAATTATGTACATGCACATTGTAAAAATGGGTATGTTAATAATATCATAACCCCCCAAATTTTTTGGTTGCACAAATTCTCTATTTTCAGTATGCTTCTTCCATTGAATACAAATTTTTCCACCATGTCATTCACCCTTTTTCCTATAGTATTCGGCATCGGAAATACTTTTGATAAATATAGAAACTGCGGCAACACCTTTAATTTTACTAATATACATTTGCCTTCTAAAGTCAACTTGATATCCTGTAATTCTCTTACAAAAATTTTTGCTTCCTCTAAACATTTCATCCAATTAATTTGACACATATCTATATTCCCAAATGTAACATTTAATATTTCCATGGATTCAACTTCATTGATGTCTTGTTGTGGGTTTATTTGTCTCCAAATTCCAAGTCTCATTAATTTTGTTTTAGATTTGTTCAATTTCATAGGCCTACCTGTTGCTATTTCATGCCTTTCAATAACTTTTTTGGATTTTTCTGTCTGCATTATTGAGAATCCCTTTCGTCTTAGAGAGCCGGGATCAATGGACAATTCAACCATCCTACTTCGAGTTTTACGTTTTCTCTTTTTTTTTTTTTTTTTTTTAAATGAATCCACAATGTGGATTATTCAATATGTAAAATAATAAACTTTTTGTTGAAGTGTATGTATTTCCGTCCGCGCGATTCCAACCCAGTCCGCAAGATGGAATTCACGTTTTCTTTCCGCGTTACATGATAAAGCGTCTCTTTGCCAATATATTCGTTATATACTGGAGCCGTTCCCCGCGTATGTCCATAGGCTGACGCTAGACAATTTTTGGTAACTATAGCCCTTTCACTACTTTGCATTATTGGACACGTTTAGTGGGCATAACGATCGTTTCAAAATTTTGTTGTTATTGTTATTTTCTTTCGTCATTATCATTAAAAAATCGCTTTTCTCTTCGAATACTGGACTAATTGCTTTGGAATTTTCAGTGGTTCAAGATTGATTTTTTTGCCAGAGGGCTATTACTTTCATTTATTCCTGAATCCTCTATGAATCTTATGAGATCTAATATTTCATCCAAAATTGCGCTGTATTAATTTTTAATAATGGGAACACGGTTTTTAATCCGCCATGCGTGACGGCTGACTATGAAAATTCTTGCGACTGAAAACCCGGAACTTTATGAGGGTACGGTACCGATAAAGTCAAAGGTAAACCCTGCTTCGCTCTAGTCCACGTGTCCATATATTTGAGCGTTGCTCTCTTGTTTCTTGTAAATAGGTTTTAGTACAATTAATACCAAATTGTTTTTGCAATAAACTTTGTAGATGCGTCCATGGGTGAAAACCTTCATTCACGAATGGACATTCTCTATTTCTGCAATGTGATATCAATATACGCTGTCTTTTTCTTTCATTTCTTCTGACGTATGAGTGTTTTTCTCTTCCTTGTTTGTTAGCGCTTCATGAGTGGCCCACGCGCCAGTTTCGTTGGGTGTAAAGGCCATTTCAAGCCAAAACGAACGAGACAAACCATCCGAAGTGAATACCTCATTTGTAGATCGATGTATAACCTTAGTTAGTTGGAAACCTGATAAATGGTTTAGCCATCGTTGTATGAGCATACGTGGGCTAGGATTCTTTGCATTCTCTTTCATTCTTTTTAATAAACCAAACACCCCAGTATTATCCGTTATAACTGTAAATGGAATGGCCTGCAATACTGGTTGCCACTTGTTCACCGATTCTTCCAGCGCTTTCAGTTCTTTTGTGCACGGATCATACGATCTTGCTTGAGTTCCACTTCTGACTATAGTAAGCTATCGGATATACTTCGTTGAAGGGTGGCTCTTCCCCCTTGTCTGTTTGAAATAAAATTGCTCCAAATCCACTCTCGGAAGCATCTGTTTCGACAAATAATGAAAGTTCTGGGTCAATATGGTACAAAATTTCCGCGCTATTCAATTGGTTTTGTGCAACCTTATAGTCTTCTAGTAGGTCTTCTGTCCATAGTACTGGCGTCACTCTTCCGCGTGTGGCCGGAACATTTCCCGTTAGGGCATCAAATTTTGCTAGTTTTAGGCTAAGTTTCGGAATATGATCTGCAATGTAGCGTAGGGTTCCAATCCAACCCCTCAATTCGTATATATTACGCGGCGGAGTCAATTCCTTCAAGGCTCTCAACCTTTCTGGTTGTACTTCTATTTCTTACCGCTCAATGTCGCACCAAGTAGATTAATTCGTCTTTTCCCGATAAAACATTTGTTTATGCTGAGCGTCAATTTCATTTTTGCTAATTGTTCAAAAGTCATTTGGAGCAGTATTAGGTGATCTTCTACGGTTTTGGTGCTCAGAAATATATCGTCAATGTATGCTTCTATTGGTGAGGCCTTTGCCTCGTCGAGCCGCTTGCAACTATTCATATGTTTCCGATACACAGCTGTGATAGGCTCTACGACGCAAGCTTGCATATTAGCTGAGAATGGGGCCACAGCCGTCTTAAGGCCCATCGGGAATTTTCGCCAGCGTAGATGTTGGCCCTTGACCGCTATACCCAAAAAGGTCCTACTGTCTTCGACTACATCACAATGAAAGTATGCCTTCTTTAAATCAAGGAGTGTCAAGACCTCTCTTCCTTGCGCCATCTGCTTAATATCGGGGATTAACGCTGTGGCGATTTCAATAGATTTGATGGCAGCATTCAATGGTTGGAGATTTTGCACCACCCTCCATGATTGTTGCCAGCCAGCTTCTTGCTTTTGTCGTTCGTTCATTTTTTGCGGTACCACAAATAACGCCAATTTCCATTCCGTAAATCCAGTCTCTATTACTCCGAGGTCTAGAAAGTTCTTTACAGCTTCTTCGAGTGCTTCTGCTTGTTCTTTTCCTCTCAGGTTGTATGACCCTGAGACAAAGGGTTTTACAGTGGGATCTTTTAGTTCGATGTGACACGGATATTTCAGTTCTTGTTCAGACGATAAGTGACCCCTCAGATCTTCCAACTCTTTGGCATAAGGTGGATACACTTGCCTCCATTCTTCTTCTGTTA